GACCATAATTCCTAAGCCAGGCTTTGCTGCACTAGGCCTACCCTGAGAATCCTACCCTTGGCAGGGTTTTGTTTGTTTGTTTGTTTTAGATTTCTCTATTTATTTGAAAGTCAGAGTTAGAGAGGGAGAGATTCAGGGAGAGTCAAGAGAGAGAAAGAGCTTCCATCCACTGGTTCACTTCTCAAATGGCCACAATGGCCAGGGATGGGCCAGGCTGAAGCCAGGAGCCCAGAGATTCCTCCAGGTCTCCCACATGCAAGATGGGGCCCGAGCATTTGGGCCATCTTCCTCTGCTGTCCCAGGTGCATTAGCAGGAAGCTGGATTGGAAGTGAAGCATCCAGGACTTGAATTTGAGCCCACCTGGACGTCAGCCCTGCAGGTTGTGGCTTTAAGCTGCTGCACCTCAGCGCTGGCCCCTCTCTGCAGCTGGGGTAGGTGTTATCAAAGCCCTGAGACTGGGTGGAAGGCTGAAGGAAATCCAGGCATCTGATACCATCCTACACCCCAAGGCTGACAGAACACACAGCTCAAAACCTGCTTACATCCCCACATCACTGAGATCAAGTGCAAATTCTCCATTGATTTTCAAGGTTCTTCAGAATCTGCTCCCCACCCCAACTGCTCTCTTTATTTTTTTAGAAAAGTTATTTATTTTACTTGAAAGTGAAAGAGAGAGAGAATATCTCCCATACTTTTGTTCATTCCCTATATGCTCCCAAGAGCCAGAGTTGTGCCAGACCAGAGCCAGGAGGCAGGAACTCAATCCAGGTCTCCCACCTGGGTGGCAGGGTGTGCATTAGCAGGAAGCTGGATGGACATCAGAGCCAGGACTCCCAGACATCTCACGCAGTGTCTTAAGCACCATGCCAAACACCCACTACTCCCTTCCTAAGCCCAGCCTGCAGCCCTCCTGAGCTTCTCGCCCTCCTCCAAGTTCCATTCAGCTTTTACGTTTTCTACTATCTGCCTAATCAATTTCTTTTTTTGTTTGTTTTGTTTTGCTTTTTGGCAGGCAGATTTAGACAGTGAGAGAAAGCGAGAGACAGAGAGAAAGGTCTTCCTTTCCATTGGTTCACCCCCAAAATGGCCGCTACGGCCGGTGCTCTGAGCCATCAATTTCTACTCAAGCATGAAGCCATTTACTGAGCGCTCAGGCAGATGCTTGTCCCCTCTGCTTCAAAGGTGTATGCTCCCGGCGCCATGGCTCACTTGGTTTATCCTCCGCCTGTGGCGCTGGCACCCCATATGGGCGCCGGGTTCTAGTCCCAGTTGCTCTTCTTCCAGTCCAGCTCTCTGCTGTGGCCCCTGAGGGCAGTAGAGGGATGGCCCAAGTGCTTGGGCCTGGCACCCGCATGGGAGACCAGGAGGAAGTGCCTGGCTCCTGGTTTCGGATCGGCGCAGCACCGGCCATAGCGGCCATTTGGGGGTGAACCAACAGAAGGAAGACCTTTCTCTCTGTCTCTCTCTGTAACTCTACCTGTCAAATAAATAAATAAAAAATCTTAGAAAAAAAAAAAAGGTGTATGCCTATTTCAAGGGCAGGGAGATTGAATTTCCACTTTGTCCAGGGCAGTGGCTCAGAGTAAGGTGGCTGAGACATGAGAAGGGTGGCATCAAGATCCGACAGCAGGGGCACAGCAGGTTAAGCAGCCACTTGGAACGCAAGCATCCCGTACTGGAGTGCTGGTTCAAGTCCCAGCTGTTCTAATTGAGCTCCCTGTTTAAAGTGCCTGGGAAGGCAGTGGGAGATGGCCCAAGTACTTAAAGCTCTGCCACCAAAATGGGAGACCTGGACGGAATTCCTAGCTCCAGGTTTTAGCCTGACCTAGCCTTGGCTGTTGTGACCATCTAGGGAGTGAACCAGCAGATGGAAGATCTGTCATTCTGCTTTTCAAATAATCAGATCTTGGGGCCAGTGTCATGGTGCAGTGGGTTAAGCCACCACTTGAGATGCTGGCATCCCATGTGAGTCCTGGCTGCTCCACTTCCGATTCAGTTCCCTACTAATGTGCCTGGGAAAGCGGATGGTGGCTCAAGTGATCGGGCACCTGTCATTCATGTGGGACACCCAGAGGGGAGTTCCAGACTCATGGCTTCAGCCTGTCCCAGCCCTGGTGGTTGCCACCATTGAGAGTAAACCAGAGGATGGAAGTTCATTCTCTTCCTCTTTCAAGTAAATAAAATAAATCTTGAAAAATAAACCTTGAAAGCCGGAGTCACGGCTTACTAGGTTAATCCTCCACCTATGGCACCGGTACTCCAGGTTCTAGTCCCGGTTGGGGCACCGGTTCTGTCCCGGTTGCTCCTCTTCCAGTCCAGCTCTCTGCTGTGACCCGGGAAGGCAGTGGAGGATGGCCCAAGTGCTTGGGCCCTGCACCCGCATGAGAGACGAGGAGGAAGCACCTGGCTCCTGGCTTCAGATCGGTGTAGCATGCCAGCCGTAGCGGCCATTTTGGGGGTGAACCAACGGAAGGAAGACCTTTCTCTCTGTCTCTCTCTTTCTCTCACTAACTCTGTAAAAAAAAATAAATCTTGAAAGAAAAAAAAAGATCTGCTAGCAAGAGTAGGGTAAGGGTCTGGGAGTCCCTTCAGAAGGAGGCCCCCAGCCTCTGCACAGATGCACCTAATACAGAAGTCTTCAGGAGGCAGCACTGTGGCTCAGCAGGTTAATCCTCTGTGACCCTGGCATCCCATATCCCTTATGTCTCTTCCTCTCACTGTAACTCTCTCAAATAAATAAAATCTTTAAAAAAAAAAATCTTCAAACAGGGGACCAGCTCTGTGACATAGCAGGTAGTCACTGCTACCTGCAGCACAGATATCCCACATGGGTGCCAGTTAGTCCTGGCTTCTCTACCTCCAATCCAGCTCCCTGCTAATATGCCTGGGAAAGCAGTGGAGGTTGGCCCAACTACTTGGGCCCCTGTACCCATGTGAGAGACCAAGAAGAAGCTCCTAGCTCCTGGCTCTTGGCTGTTGTCTGGCCATTGTGGCCATTTGGGGAGTGAACCAGCAGACAGATGATCTCTCTGTCTCTCCCTCTCATTTTGTAACTCTACCTTTCAAATTAACAAATAGATCTTTTTTTAAAAAAAATCCTCAAACAGGCAATGCAACTTTTCATTCGTCACAATGAGGCTGAGTAAGAGGCTAGGAGGGGCTGGTGCTGTGATGCAGTGGGTTAACGCCCTGGCCTGAAGCACTGGCATCCCATATGGGCAACTGTTCTGGTCCCCGCTGCTCCTCTTCCGATCCAGCTCTCTTGCTGTGGCCTGAGAAAGCAGTGGAAGATGGCCCAAGTCCTTGGGCCCCTGCACCCACGTGGGAGACCCGGAGGAAGCTCCTGGTTCCTGGCTTTGGATCAGCACAGCTCCAGCCGTTGCAGCCAAGTGGGGAGTGAGCCATCGATGGAAGACTGACCCTCTCTCTCTCTGCTTCTCCTTTCTCTGTGTAACTCTGACTTTCAAATGAATAAATAAATCTTAAAAAAAAAAAAAAAAGAGGCTAGGAAGGGCTGCTCCTATGGCACAGCCGGTTAAGCCACTGCCTGGGACACAGACACCAACATCCTGAAGGAGCACCATTTCAAGTCCCAGATGCTCCATTTCCAATCAGGCTTCCTGCTTCTGTGCCTAGGAAGGCAGCGAAAGATGGCCTGAGTATTGAGTCCCTGCTGCCCACAAGGGAGACATCGAGTTCCAGGCTCCTCCTGGCTTTGGCCTGGCTCAGCTCCAGATGTTGTGTCCATGGGGAGTGCACCAGCTGAAAGAAGATCTCGTTCCTCTGTCTCTCCCTCTAAATCTTAAAAAGAAAAGAGGCTAGGAGATACCCTTGGCCTTCTGGATTCTGCATAGCTCCTAAAATGGTCCAGGCAAAACCGCAGGCTTAGAGGAGCCCTGTGGGTGTGCTTATTAAACAACAGACTTTGGACTAGGTGCTTCACACACAGTATCTGTGGGTCCCAACATCTTTGGTTTTATAAACGCAGTTTTACACATGAACTCACTGAGGCACAATGAGGTTGTTAGGTAAGAGTTTCAAGGTCAGGCAACTTCATGATAGTCTGCCGTCAAAGCACAAGCCCCTAACCACTGTGCTAGACTGACTCTTCTTCCTGAAAAATCCCCACAGAATACAAGTCCCCACCCACCCTACCAAGCCACCAAGAATCTGGGAAATTAGGAAATCTTTCCCATCATTCTTACAAGTGAGCTGACCCTGTGTCATTTCAGTGGGCTACAAAATTCTTGCCCTAGGTCCCAAGTATTCTTTCTGGACAGAGAATAAACATCAAGGAGGGCAGATAGACAGACAAAAAAAAAAAAAAAAAAAGACAACTTCAAAGATCAAAAGAAATTATTTCTACAGAGTTCTTCGTAAAAGTCGATTAACTGCTAAATACCTGAAGTAATCCAACTTCACATCCCGGGAGGGGGTTGTTAACGTGGCAAAACCGTGCAAACTTTCAAAATGACATGTAGTTAGCTGGTTTAGGTGCATTTATAATAAATGTAAAGTATAAAAGCAGAACACTTAATTTCAGAAACACCATCTGAATGAGGGCAGCTGAGCTATGCCAATTTACTTTTTCCTTTCCTTTAAAGAATTTTAAGCCAATTATTTTTTGACCAGGTAACTCATGCAAGGGGTAATTCATGCACATGGTATATCAAGTTCTAAAGACTAAAGTCAGCAGACAGTGGAATGACTCCCAGTAATGCATGCCAATCATTTTGGAATGCAGGTTTATCAACTTATGGTTATGTGGATTTGCTTTTTTCTGCAAGGGTGATGATGGCAGAAGTTAAAAGTGAAACCCAGAGCAGACAATTCACACCACTGGCTAAGACACACTTAAGACATCCTTAGCTGGCCCTGTCATTGTCACATCTAACCTAAGTCCCTCCGCTGTGATCATGAAGAAGCTGTGCTATCAGTATGGAGAAGCCAGGCAGAGGAAAGCAAGCCATGAGAGAAAACCAATTAACTGGCTTCTTACCTGCTCGTGTGCCAGAATGCAGTCTTCTCAGGCTTGCTGGCAGCTTTTAAGGGTCTCCAGGGTCCAGAGCAGGTGCCTAGGAGCCGTGTGCAGTGGGTACTAGGGAGAGGCTGCGGCTGCCCCCAGCCCACAGTCCACAGTCCAGGCTTCCCGTCTGATGAGAAGGGTGAGACACAGGCCACTGCAGCTCTGACTCAGAAACTGGAGCCAGCAAGGGCGGGGCAGGGCCACGTGGCCACAGCCTGCCTTTAAGTAGGAGGGATCCTCAAACCTGGAGAAGCAGCCAAGGGACTGCTCTGAAGGAAGACAACAGCAAGCTGTGGTGGATGTCCCCGAAAGCCCAGTCCTTCCTGGTTCCCAGACAGGTTGGACTATTTTCAGCAGCTACACAGGCCCCTCTCCAGAACACAGGGATCCTAATACAAATCATCTCTCACAACTTAGTAAGGCCATAGTCCTTGTGTGTTTGAGTGTGGCTGGGGGTGGGATACTTGATGGAGAAAAGGGCCTGATTCTACCACTGCTCAGGATCAGAAGTTGGCCAGCCTACCAGCTTACAGGTGGGGAATGAGATCAAACAGCTGGATACCAAAGTTAACCCTAAGGCCTCAGACACAGCCCTCACAGCCATGCCTGCAGACCGAAGAGAAACCCTCAGGCCCACCTCCATTCACACCGGCACACACCGGCTTTACCTGGGTCAGAGTGCTTGAGTTGACAGCACTGCCCAGAAGAGCAGCTCCATTATGGTCTCTACTGAGCTTTCACAAGTCCTCAAATGTCTGGCCAGATTTCATTTGTAGCTAGCTGCAGCCAGCCCCACAAAGGATCCTTTACTTCTTCCACTACCAAACATTACAATGGGGTGGGTGGCCTGTGATCAAAGGATCACACTGAGAGTTGGCAGGGTTTCCCTGGATGTTAGCACAAAGCCTTTTATTAGAGGACCCTTAGCCCCCAAGACTCCAGAAATGCTGACCTCCACATGACAAGAGGTCTCATTCTGAATGTCAAACAAAACCTGGTATTTATTCAAGAACTGCTTTCTTAATTAGGTGAACAAATGGATTCCTGGGTTAGCCCTGAACTTCCAGCAGTGCATTAACGTCCACGATTAAATGTACCCAGCTAGTTTCACCCCTACCCTGTCCCCTCGGTACCACCCTATCCCCAGTGGCCAAGGACACACCCTCTGCCAGGCCCTACTGTGGAGCTCTGCCAAGGTGTTGATTCATTGAGAGCAGAGGAGACAAACATTCAAAATGGAAGCGGCGTCAGGTCTCCCAGGCCAACACTTTGTTACCATGACCCCAGGAGATGTTTTGTTCTTGCCAGTTTACAGACAGGAAACCAAGAGCATACTCAAAGGTTGGTGAACACATCCAGACTCCACATTCAGAGTTCCCCATGGACTGTATTCCCACTTGACAATCTTTTTTGAAAGACAGATTTTATTTTGAAAGGCACAGTTAGCGAGACAGAAAAGAAAGGTCTTCTATTTGCTGGCTCACTCTCCAAGTGGCTGCCAGTGGTCAGAACTGGGGCGATCTTAAGCTAGGAGCCAGGAGCTTCTTCCAGATCTCCCACGTGGGTACAGGGGTCCAAGCACTTAGGTCGTCATCTGCTGTTCTCCAGGAGTATTAGCAGGGAGCTGGATCAGAAGTGGAGTGTCTGGGACTTGAACCAGCACCCATATAAAATGCAGGCATTCCCACTAAGCCAGAGCACTGGCCCCAGGAATCTTTTTTTCTTTTCCGATGACTTCATGTGGCAAAGTTGCCTTTCTCCAATTACATCAGGCACTTAATAGCATTAGTTCCTAATAACCCACTGTAACATCATTACTGTACACACGTATATTCAGGGCCCAAAATTAACTTTGGAAAACTCTCTTCAAATGACCTAATTAAAAGCAACTCTCCTTCATTTGATTTGCAGTCAGAGAGGGCAGCTGAGTTCTCTTGGGTAGTCTGTGGACTGAAAATTCAAGGATCAAGTTCTGAAAGGCAGGATCAGAGATGGGCAAGTCAGGTGGGCTTACCTCTAAGATTACAAACTGGGTTCTGACAGAGCTGCTGGGTAGGACAGGAGGTTGTGTTGTGGGTGGACTGCTGAATAGGCCCTGCAGCTACTTCCAGTTGGACTTTCCCAACTTATTTCCAAAACCAGAACTTCCAAACTTTGTTTTGCTATCTTTCTTTTTGCTTCACTTTGAACAAGCAGCATGTCTTTTTATTCCCCATCATAGCTACTGATTGCCAGGTCACTCATTCACACAAGAACGTGAAATGTACACAAGTCCAGGCTTCTCCAGCAGATTAATGGTAGTCAGGGCAGGAACCAAGTCTACGCTGACAAACAGATGATTCTCATGTCTAGCGGGAGAAAAATCACTGGGACAGGTTCTCCATCATCACCTGATCTAAAGCCCTTGGCTGCCCACTTCCCATTTCGTTTTTCAGACTTGAGACCCTCTGGTTTCCCTTGAAAAAAGTTTCAAGGCTTTTGATCTAATGAAACAGAAATGGTCTTAGGCTCTCTCAAAATGTATCTTCAGGCTCTCGGTCACCTCACCACCAGTCTCAGAGGTGCAGACTGTCAGATTATGAATACCCTCCCCTCATCTTTGGTGAGGAATAGACCTGGGAGGCAGCAGCACATGAGTTGTTCACTGATAACTTGTGGAATAATAGCTCCTTGCTAAGTACCCAGAAATGTAGTCGAAAATGGCCCAAAGATTTGGGGCCCTGCCACCCACATGGGAGATCCTGGCTCCTGACTTCAGCCTTGCCCAGCCCTAGCCAGTGTGGCCATTTGGGGAGTGAACAGCTGAATGGAAGATCTGTCTCTCCCTCTCTCTATAACTCTGCCTTCAATAAATCAGTCATTAAAAAAAAAAAAAAAAAAAATTAGGGCTATGGCTCCACAGGTTAAAGCTGTGGCTTGTAGCACCAGCATCCCATATGGCCATCAGTTTGAGTCCCAGATGCTCCACTTCTGATCCAGCTCCCTGCTGGTACGCCTAAGAAGCGGAGGATGGCCGAGGTACATGGGCCCCTGCACCCATGTAGGAGACCTGAAGGTAGCTCCTGACTCGGCTTCAGCTGGCCCAGCCCTTGCCATTGCGGCCATTTTGGGAGTTGAACCAGGAGATGGAAGATCACTCTCTCTGTAACTCTGCCTCTCAAATAATTCTTAAAAAACAAAAAACAAAAACAAAAACAGTAACCTTTTGGTATGTTAGCAAGTCTCCTAACGTTGGCTTTTCAAGCTTCTCAATGAAGAGTGCTTGGGTATACTGGTTCAGACTGGTAAGGACCACACTTACTGCCTGAACATTTCAGTTCACTCAAACCCCGTTTGAGCACTACACATTGGTCTATCTGATCCATTAGTGTAAATGAACCAAGTAGGTGTTTAATAAATCCCTACCATGTGCCTGTCCTGGAATGAGCCATCTGTTCCCCCCCAATACTGTAATTTTTTCAGAGGTCTAATGTCAGTAGCACAGATTTTTCTTCTGAGCTATAGCCCTTGAAGATTAATTTTAAGGGTAAAGAAAACTTAATATTTATATACAATATTCTAAGGGCAAATGAACAAGTGAATGACTTTTGAAAAAAAATTCCTTCTGTCTTGAATGGAAAATTCAGAATGTTTAAAAAGTTGAAAGGTTGATCCTATTTGAAGAATGTTCCCCATTTCTGGTTTCCTTCTCACAAGCTCAAGAAAGCCTACAGCCAGGGAGCAGCACACATCCTGAGGACCAGCACTCTCCCTGTGAGACAAGTGAACCCCACAGCCTTTCCCAGCCCAGCAGCTGTTATGCTAGCAATACATTTACACAAACCAAGAAAAGCAACATTCCATCCACAGTTCAACTTGAACCCCCTTCCCCACAAGAATGCTATTCTTGGCAAGAGATCTTCTAAAGGAAACAACATCTGCAGAACCTCTGCCCATAAGGTCAGGGGAGAGCTGAGGCAGCTGAAATCTTTTCAGTCCTTTCTTAGACCCAAGCTGCAGGGACTTACAGAGAAGAGGGATGGGCATCAGTCTGACAACCACCAGCAGATGCCTCAGTGTCCTGGCATCATGCCTGTCAAGCTCTACAACACTGGGTGTGTTCACCAAGGCTAAGGACTTCCTTTACCTAGCTGCTCCATCAAACCAAAGGAGCCAATTAAGTCCCCTTAACAATTTCATAGATAGGATCTGTATTTAAGCCTCATCCAGTCAACAACTATTTAGGAAAATTCCTTTTGAGCATCTTGAGGCAAATTCTTCCTCTCACATATTCGAGCCTAATTCCCTGCTGGCATTCAAGAAATATACCTTGCCTTCCTCCTACAGACAGCAAGCAATGATGGACAATCTGTGGAGGAAACTCAGTGGGACAATTCCTGATTGTCAAAGAGACTGTTTTTTTCATGTAATTCCTACTACGATATAATATTTCAAACTTCAGTTAGGATAAAGAGGCTTAGTTTCTCACACTTAACTGCATATCACCATACAATTTTGACAGAATGGATTTAGGGCCACAGGAACGAATAGGTCTTGCAATGAGGCTTTCTAAACATAATTCTGATGTCCTATCCACTGTGCAGATCCATGAGCTCAGCAAGAACACGTTTAATTTCTGACAAGATTTAGGTCTCTGCTGACTGATCTAAAACCAAGTTAAAGGTTTAGGTGTTTGGTACAGAGGTCAAGTCACTGCTTAGAACATCCACTGGAGTGCCTGGGCCCAGTCCTGGCTCATCTACTTCTGATCCAATTTCCTGCTCATGAGAGGCAGCAGATGATGGCTTAAGTATTTAGGTCCCTGCAACCTACATGGGATACCCAGACAGAGTTCCAGGCTCCTGCCTTCTGCATGACCCATCCCCTATCTGTTGTAGGTACTTGAGGTGGGAACCAGTTTCAGTGCAGATGAACTGCCTAGAAGGTAAATCTTGAGCTTCCCACACAGCTGGAAGAAGAGGAATTTTCCAGTGTGCTCAAACATTTCTGAAACGGAACCACTTCCTGCCAACAGGCTCGCAGTGCTCTTTTCTTATACCCTGAGGATCTTATGGAACCTAAGATGTGTGTGCACTTCAGAGACAGGCACCCCCTGGTTACCCATATGCCTTTAAATAGGGCCCACATATTCCAAATTTGTTCCCAAGGGCAGGTTAGTATCTGGGTCCTTCTGTACTTACTGACCTCTCCTAGTAGTCATAGGACCAAAGATCTTTTCAGGAGCTGTAGAAGTAAAGAGAATGCCTGTTAAATTAGACTATCATGCTGGTATTCATGCTTAACCCATCAATTCAAGACCGAAAGTAGAAGGAAGCTCTAACAGGGATAGAAAAATCAGTCACTCTTCCTCAATATCCAATGGGAGAAGAGCGGATGTCCACATGGTTACTGAACCCAAGTTTCAGTTGCATGGCAAAAAGAAATCAGGAAAAGTCACAAAACCATCACTGAGTTGGGAAGAGTAGGCAGCCACAGGGTGCTAGAAGTCTAAGCAGGTACTCAGAAGGAAGGAGGATGCTCGGTTCTTATTCCAAGATAGGCTTCAATCTCTTACCTAGATTCTTTTGAACAGAAAAACACACATGGACACCAGCCACCTTAAAAACTAGGTTTGTATTTCTGGGTAGGTCCTAGAGTGGAAGAACTCAAGAGCAATACTATATCCAACCTGGTTCCCACCAATGTGTGCCTCCCTCCCTTCCACAAAGGACATTGTACAAAACTCTATTTACAGGAAAACCAGTTAAAAATTAGGCATGTGTACAAAAGTAGACAAAAGGCAGATGCAAGGATGGCCTTGAGGAAGAGGGAACAACATGTTCCACACTAGAACCCAGATGTATCATGTACTAGGCAGGGAGAAGTGCAATAAATCTCAATGCCAATTTTAAGGGTGAACCAGTCATTCCAAGGGAAGACATGAGGGGGGAAAAAGCTGTTGGTTTTAACGGCAAAGTCTTAATTAATTCTCCTGTCACCTTTCTCCTGCCATATGGCAGAAGCGAGGTGGTGGTGGTGGTTGTGGCGACAGGAAAAAGAAAATACAAAGTCTCTTGGCAGCCCCACATATACAGCAAGGAAGGGCTCAGAAGGCGTAACGGGTCCGGATGTCCTCAAGCTTCTTAGACACCTCAGGTGGAGTTCGGTCCAGTTCCTCAGAGACATTCTTTTGTTTGTTGGGCTCCATGGAATTGAACTGCTCACAGAGGTCTCCATCAATCACATTCTAAGACATGAAGTAATCAGAAGGAAAAAAGGTTAAATGCACAAAGTAAATAGAACAAGAGGCCAGCATTGTGGAGCAGTGGATTAACCTGCTGCCTGTGATGCTGGTATCCCATGAGTGCTAGTTTAACCCAGTTGTTCCACTTCCAATCTAGCTCCCTGCTACTACACCTGAGAAAGCATCAGAAGACAGCCCAAGTGCTTGGGCATACACAATCTACATGGGAGACCCAGATGGGAGTGTCAGGATCCTGGCTTCAGCTTGACCTAGCCCCAGCCACTGCAGCCATTTGAGGAGTGAACCGGGGATGGAAGATCTCTCTCTGTGTAACTGCTTTTCAAGTAAATAAACACATCAAAAGAGAAAATTAAAAAAAGAGAATGCTTTGTATTCTCCCCAGTGAATCACTCTACTTTGTAGAGTCGGGAGCACATTCTCAGTCCTTAGTAGTCAGAGTTCAGAATAGCAAAACTAGGTGAAGCTTTTTCTTTGGCTATGATATGACCTGAGGGGAGAAGATTCTGAATATAATCACCAAGCACCCCTCCCCCAATCCAATCCCTTGCCACTCCTTTATGCTGCATTATTCTGATTTTTAAGGAGATGGAGGCTAAAAGAAAAGATCAGCTGAAAGGGCTGATTCCCTCAAGCTACCTTTACAGGGAAGTAATAGGAACGAAAGCTTAGGTGGTCCCGTCCACAGAGAGGGGGATGCTCAGACCGCAGGTGCATTTCAACATGCTGGAAGAAGTCATGGTCCTGGTGGAAGAAATAAAGAGCCTGTCACTAAAATAAAAGTGATTTCAACCACTAGTGGATAGTATTCAGAAGCACAGTGAACAAGTCATTGATTTCCCCATGCAAACAAATGGTAAATATCTAATCACTCTTCTGATGATCAAAGGTTCTTCATATATGACAGGACAGCTAAAACCCCAAAGAATGTACTGTATTTGTAGCACAAAAGAGAACATCATGGGTAAGAGCAATTTTTGAAGTCATATTCCAGACCCTAGACTATCAGGCTAGAATGATTCCATAAGGCACAATGTGCTCCAGCATGGGGCCAGCGCTATGGCATAGCGGGTAAAGCCACCGCCTGCAGTGCCAGCATCCCATATGGACACGGGTTCAAGACCCAGGTGCTCCAATTCCGATCTAGCTCCGCCATGCTTGGGAAAGCAGTAGAACATGGCCCAAGTCCTTTGGTTCCTGCACCAGTGTGGGAGACCTGGAAGAAGCTCCTGGCTCTGGACTGGCTCAAATCCAGCAGTCGCGGCCATTTGGGGAATGAACCAGCCAAAGGAAGAACCCCCATCCCGCCTCTCTGTAACTGCCTTTCTGATAAATTAATCTTATAAAAAAGAAAGTGCTCTAGCAGATATCTAACTCCCACTTCTAGTCACTGTAGTTCAGCTTAAAAACTAATGTCTTGGTAGGGGCAAGGGGAGGAATATTAGGATTCCTATCTCCCTAGGAAGGTGACACCTGGCACCTTGTCAAATTCCCAGAACTTTCCTAGTTACAAGATTCAGCCCAGATTAATATGGGTTCTCACTTCATGGGATGTGAATGGAACAAGGATGCCAATTCCTCCAGATAAAGTGGTATAGACAAGTGACTCTGAGCCTCCAGGGATCAGTGTGGTCTTCTGTAATGACAGCACTGTCTCCCCAACATGGTAGTTCATGATCACCTCTGCCTGCAAATCAGAAACAGATAAACAATGATGAGTGTCTTTGGAAATAGGTTCTGGATTTCCAAAAGCAAGGCAGTGACCTCAAAGGTACCTGTCATCTTTTAAGAAATCAAAAATTACTAAAAGCTAACAATACTTCCACAGGAGGTAGCAGGTAACATCTAAATAGTTGGGTTCCTGGGGCTGGCACTGTGGTGTGCATAAAGCCACCGCCTGCAGTGCCAGCATCCTATATGGGTGTTGGTTCAAGTCCTGGCTGCTCCACTTCTGGTCCAGCTTTCTCTGCCTCTACTTCTCTCTGTGTGTTAACTTAATCAAATAGAAGTCCAGAGATGCTCTCTTAAACATGACTAAAGAGGAAAAACTGGTTAGTACTGGGAATTAATCTGTACAACTAGGTTTTCCAAGGAACTATGTATTCTTCAAAGAGTTTTACACTGACTGACGTTTCACAAAATTTTCTAAAAGCAGAATAGTGAAGTGGTCACCTTATATCAAACCTAACATTCCTCCATTACAGGTTATGTATCAACAGCTATGGGATTTCCAAGAAGGAAGGATCATGCATGGGAGAGCACTCAGCATAGCTAATGTGCATTGTGAAAAATTCACTAAAAACTGTCAATGAGGGCAACAGGAAAAGTAGTTAAGTGTGCCTTTCTCACATGAGCTCTTTGTGAAATCCTACCTTTTGTGAGGCCCCATTGAGCAAGCCCCGGTCCCACAGGGCTTTGTTTCCTGTAGGATCCTCATCCACTTCATCATTGGTGTTAGGTGGGAGTCTCACCTACAAGAAAATGACACATACCATAGGGCTGGACCCTACACATCTCACCTGGGTCACCAAGGAACATACTCGCCCCAGGTCCTCACCTACAAGAATGCTACCTAAACAGAAGTCTGAGCCCAAGTCTCCTACACCTGTTCTGATGGATGAGAGCTGTCTAAGAGTGAGAAACCCAAGAAAATCATCCCAAAGACAGGTTTTATTACAGTCAAGAGCAAAAATAAAGACCATACAACACAGACAGGAGAAATCAGACTAGGCTTAAAAAGAGAAACCAAAATTCTAGCAAAATGTGTAAATGAGTATAATCATTAAATCTTGCTTCATGGAGAGAAGAGAGGTAAGCTGGGAAAAATCAAAAAGACAGAAAGCTTGAGGAACACAAAGATGTTTTTTAAAAGTCAGCCTTAGTAGGGCTGAATTTCTCATCTACTTTTACTTTCCTTCTTAAAGATCATAATCCTGAGTCCCACCCTGGCTTTACCCAAAACAATGAACTGAGCCAGCTTTCCCACACATCACTGTAACCCAAATAAGCACCAACTCACCACACAAATGTTGCCAAATTTGTCTGCACCAGCCACAGTGTCGTAGTCAAGGAGGCTAGCTGTGGTGACCCATCGGGGATAGGTGTCATCGGCGAAGATGATGAGCTGGTTCTCATTGCGCTTGTAGCGCACCCAGATGAAACTTTCTTGAACATCAGACACAATTACTCTGTGCCCAATAGTCTGGATCCCAGATATATAGTTGGCAATATGCTGGGAAAGACAAAAAAATAGCTATGGGTGTAGCCTGGAGTTCAGAACCCACAGAAAGTCCAGCTTTCCCTGACTACAACATATACAGAGTCTACAGAATACTACTCCATCAAAGAACACCAGTTAAAAACAAAGCCTTAAGGTGAGAAAAAGAGCTAAGTAATTTTAACTCTCATAGTTAAATTCCATACAGAAGAAAAGAGTATAGAGAATTGGCTCTTGTTTTGAAGAAGCCAAAAAATGAGATCACTTCTCAAGACTATAAGTCCTAATGCTGAGGCTGGAACTGGGGATGATAAGAGAGTCCTAAAAAAGGCACATGATTTTAGGTGTTCATTACCCCACTACCTAGATCCCAGTCACTAGCATATTTACCTTATTCTCACACTTTCGGAGTAATTTCTTCTTCCCCAGGTCATAGACTCGTAAAAGCTTCCCCACACCAATCAACACCCTTCCCTGGAATGGGGCAATGGCAGCAGGGACTTCTTCCACCGGGGTCTGTGAGAGGGAGAGCAAGAAACACAGCTATTAGAATATACAGACCCATGTCAGTCCCACCCCCTTGACCCAGAACTGCTTGTTTCCACAGGCACCTGTTGGGAAGACAGAGAGGGATCCTGTTTTTCTCATCAACACAATATAGAAGTCTCTATGAAACAGAGTCTGAGTAAACAGGTCTCACACACTGTAATTTATCCAGCTGTTAGATCAACACCAGAAATGCTAAGAAGCCCTGTGCCTGACAAATGCTGCTCTATAGCCTGTGCTCAATTTTTAACTTTTTTAAAAAGATTTTATTTATTTATTTGACAGGTAGAGTTACAGACAGTGATAGAGAGAGACAGAGAGAAAGGTCTTCTGTTGGTTCACTCCCCAAATGGCCACAATGGCCGGAGCTATGGCAATCCGAAGCCAGGAGCTTCTTCCTGGTCTTCCATGCAGGTGCCAGGCCCAAGGACTTGGGGCATCTTCTACTGCTTTCCCAGGCCACAGCAGAGAGCTGGACTGGAAGAGGAGCAACCAGGACTAGAACTGGAACCCATATGGGATGCCGGCGCCACAGGCAGAGGATTAACCTAGTGTGCCATGGTGCCAGTCCCTCAATTTGTCACTTTAAAGCACACAGTTCAGGGGCTGGCACTGTGGTGCAGCGGTTAAGTCACCACTCCCAATGCCAGCTTCCCATATTGGAGTGCTGAAGTCCTGGTAACTCTGCTCCAATCCAGCTTCCTGCTAATGCACCTGGGAAAGCACTGGAAGATGGCCCAAGTATCTGGACCCCTGCCACTCGTGTAGGAGACCCAGATGAAGTTCTAGGCTACTAGCTTTGGCCTAGACCAGCCCTAGACATTGTAGCCATTTGGGGACTAAACCAGCAGATGGAATACTTCTCTCTCTCTCTGCCTTTCAAATAAATAAATACAATAAAAAAAAAAAAGATTGTATTTATTTATTTGAAACGCAGAGGAAGAGAGAGAGAGAAGTCCTCCATCCACTGGTTCACTCCCCAGATGGCCAAAACAGCCGGAGCTATGCTGATCCAGAGCCAGGAGCTTCTTCTGGGTCTCCCACTGGAGCGCAAGGGCCCAAGGACTCAGGCCATCTTCTACTGCTTTCCCAGGCCACAGCAGAGAGCTGCACTGGAAGGCGAGCAGCCGGGACTTGAACCAACACCCAAATGAGATGCCTGCATTGCAGGCGGTGGCTTTACCTGCTACATACACCACAGCATTAAATACAATCTTTTAAAAAAAAAAAAAAAAAAAAAGGAGGGGTCAAGGGGACAAAAGGATATCTTCCAATCACTAATTCACTCCACAAATCACTTTAAGTCAAGGGTAGGCCAGGCCAATGACAGCAGCCCAAAACTCAATCCAGGTCTCCCACGTGAGTGGCAGGGACCAAGAGCTTGAGGTATCATCTGCTGCCCTCCAGGATGTGCACTAGCAGGAAGGTGGAATTAGAAGCACAGCCAGGACCTGAACTCAGGCACTCTGATATAAGATACAGGAATCTGAAGCACAACCACCATGATGTTGACTGTTTACAACTATTAATCTTTTAAGATTTATTATTTTATTTGAAAGGCAGATTTACAGAGAGGGAGAAAGACAGAGAGAGAGAGAGCGAGAGAGAGAAAGTCGGAGTCTTCCATTCACTGGTTCACTCCCTAAATGGCCACAATGGCCAGAGCTGTGCCAATCTGAAGCCAGGAGCTTTTGCCAGGTCTCCCACACGGGTACAGGGGCCCAAGCACCTGGGCCATCTTCTACTGCTTTCCCAGGCCATAGCACAGAGCTGGATGGGAAGTGGAGCAGCTGAGACTGAACTGGTGCCCATATGAGATGCAGGCACTGTGGGCGGCAGTTTTACCTGCTATGCCACAGTACTGGCCCCTCTATTAATCTTTTAAAACTGGTGAATTTTGGCCACAAATTGCTGACTGCTTTATAGACAGTAAACAAGGGGTCAACTCAGTGTGTGCCTTATCTCCGCTGTGCGCAGTTAGCACTCAGGCTTCCTGTAGGACTCATGGGCACTGGAGCATCCCTGAAACAGGAAAGCCCTAGCAGTTCTCATGTACTGCCAAAAGATGGGTTAGAAACAACAATGGGTGAGAGCTGTGGAACAGCAGGTTAAGCTACCACTTGGGTTGCCTATATCTCACATCAGAATGATTGGGATTGAGTCCCACCTCCAATTCCAATCCAGCTTCCTGCCACTCATGTGGAAGACTTAGATCAGCTTTCTGGTTCTGGTACGGCTCAACTCTCGCTGTTGCGGGCACCTGAGGTAATGAGTTAGTGGATAAAAGATTTATCTCTCTCTCTAGTCCTCCTTCTGTTGCTCTGCCTTTCAAACAATTTTTTTTAAAAAGGAAAGAATCAACATACTGACCACAAGGCGAACTGACTCATAACACCAAAAAACTGTGGGAGAATTCAGTAGAATCTAATAACCAAGACAATCACAGGCTAGTTCCTTACCTTGTGCAAAAACTCCAATTTTTCTCCATTGTTAACAAGTTTGTAAGTATAGACAAAGCCTCCTGCCACAGATCTTGGGTTCAGAATCAGGTCCTTGGCCACACCCACCAGCACATACCAGTCTTCACCAGTGTTGGAGAACCTGCACACAGCCACACTGCACACAGAGGAAAAAACAGGAGTCAGGCCTCAGTCAAAGCCAGAGAACTCACCAAACCTTGGACTGTCCTGAACCCTTTACCTAAAGGCTGCTTCATTCTGTTCCAGCTGGACAAGGTCCAGGGTGTTCCCCTGAATAGGATTCATCACTCGGATCACAGATGCCCACTGGCCATTGCCAGCTTTGGGAGCTCCAAAAATGGATTCCGGCAGGTTTTCATTGAGGAATGCTGCTGCCATCTCCGCAGCCAGCTCCCGCTCATCCTCCCCTGCTGCTTCCACCATCTCCTAAATCCAAAAAGCAAAGGAACGTCAGTGTGGCCAGGAGAGAACTGCATGGGAAGTGGAGTAATGAACACTTTTCAGACTCAGCTCCTGCTTAACATTGCAAGACTGTCACAAACAAGGCTAAGAAGGAAGAATACTGAAGAGAAAAGCAGTTACCACCAGTTACATACAGCTACATATTAGAAGAAAATACAAAAAAAAAAAAAAAAAACATTAGCTGTAGCAAACATCAAACTAGAAGTCTACGAAACAAACATGGGGCAGCAATGTGGATCATGGGTTAAGCTGCTGCTTGCTCTACCCCATCCTTTCCTGAAGCGCTAATCTGAGTCCCAGCTACTCTGCCTCTGATCCAGTTTCCAGCTAATGTACCTGGGAGGCAGTGAAGGATGGCTCAAATATTTGGGCCCCTACCACCCACATGGGAGACAGGACAGGGATCCCGGCTCTTGCCTTTAGCTTGGCCCACACCTGGCTGCTGGAGCCATTAGTAGAATGAACTAGCAGATGGAAGACCCTTCTTTCTCTCTCCTTTTCCCTCCCTGGCTCTGCCTTCCAAAATTAAATCAATCTTAAAAAATAAAAATTAAACATGAAAGCTCCATTTTTTTTTTAACCTAACCTACCTGACTTCCCTTGCTAGGACTACTCATGTTTCAGAATGAATACAGTTCTAAATGTTTGTGGCTATTTGGTTTTTCCTGGGAAATGATTTCTACAAGTGGTGTTGTAGGGAATCTAAAAGCTGTCTCCTAGGGGCTCATATCTAGGAAAAATGTAACAACTCAGTTTGAAACCCACGGACTGACTAAAACTGACTAAAGAACTCTTCCAGAGGAGCAGCTGGAATTTCAAATAAACCCAAGTCAGCGTATTAGTCCTGGATCACAGCAAAGCCTCTAAAACCAAAGAGCTTAAAGAACTTCAAAAATTTTACAGAAATAACAAGGAATATCATCAACAATTACAGGAGTTTCAACTTCAACACAATTTTACACATGCACTTTTTAACCAAACCCCAGAACGTCAGTCCTATTACCTCCGCCATCTGCTGCTTCCTCTGAGCTTTTGTGGCCTCAGTGTAGGCATTGTGGTCTGTCTCAATGATGATAAGGTTGTTACTCTCAGGATGGATGACAAATTTCCTGGGGGTGTACTGCAGTGGAAAGGCTACTTGATTGAAGACAGCACCAAGCTTCTCCAGCGCCAAAATCCTGTGACAAAGGCCAAGGGGGTTAACTCAGGACCTGGGAGCCATTAGCAATGAAACGAGCAAGCACAGCAGCCCCTGAGACGTCAGCAAACAGCAGCGTTCTAATCTAAAAGCAGTCTACAAATAAAACAAGGAGATCGACACCCCACCACTACTCACGGGGATTCTGGGTTTTTAACCCAATAAAACACATATAATGATTATCAAAGAAATTTTCTGTCACTCCAATAATAATGGGACAGTGAGAATATTTTAATTATCATTGAGAAACCTGGAAAAACAACTCAAATAGTTATCTGATTATAATGGTGGAGTTTTAACTGTCGTATATATATTCACTAAAAGGGAAAAATCTTCAAAGAGAATGAAACAGAAGATGACAGCAGATATGAAATGCCAAATAAAATTTTGGAAGCTGAAAAAACATGTGGAGCCAGTAACAAAATGAGCGAAGAGTTAAGACAAGATCTCAGATTTCCCAGATGCATCAACAAAGAAAACAGAAGCCAAATGTAACTTACTCAAATAACAAATACTTTTTTCTAGACTTATTCACACACATGTGGAATAACACATGTATCAGAGTTTTCACTGCAGCACTGTTCAAAGCAAAACAGCACCACCTAAATAAAGAATACCTAAAATATGGCATATCCATTTTTTTAAAAAAAAATTTATTTATTTTATTTGAGAGAAAGAGTTACAGGCAGAGAGAGGGAGAGAGACAGAGAAAGGTCTTCCATCTGCTGGTTCACTCCCCAAATGGCCAGAATGGCTAGAGTTGGGTTGATCTGAAGCCAGGAGCCAGGAGCCTCTTCCAGGTCTCCCACACGGGTGCAGGGGCCCAAGCATCTGGGCGATCTTGCACTGCTTTCCCAGGCCATAAGCAGAGAGCTGAATCAGAAGAGCAGCAGGGGCTGTGCCACGGCATAGTAGGTTAATCCCCCGCCTGCGGTCCTGGCATCCCATGTGGGCACCAGTTCTAGTCCTGGTTGCCCCTCTTCCAATCCAGCCTGCCGCTATGGCCTGGGAGAACAGAAGTTGGCCCAAATCCTTGGCCCCTGCACCCACACGGGAGACCAGGAAGAGGCAGCTGGCTCCTGGCTTCGGATTGGGGCGGTTCTTGCTGTTGCAGCCATCTGGGGAGTGAACCAATGAAAGGAAGACCTTCCTGTCTGTCACTCCCTCTCACTGTCTTTAACTCTACCTCTCAAATAAATAAACTCTTTAAAGGGGGAAAGAGGACATGAAGAGCAGCAGCCAGGACACAAACTGGCACCCAGATGAGATGCCAGGTGCCACAGGAGGAGGCTTAGCCTACTACACCACAGCACTGGCCCTAGCACATCCTTATTATTATTATTATTATTATTATTTTGACAGGCAGAGTGGACAGTGAGAGAGAGAGACAAAGGTCTTCCTTTTGCCGTTGGTTCACCCTCCAATGGCCGGAGCACTGTGCTGATCCGATGGCAAGAGCCAGGTACTTATCCTGGTCTCCCATGTGGGTGCAGGGCCCAAGTACTTGGGCCATCCTCCACTGCACTCCCTGGCCACAGCAGAGAGCTGGCCTGGAAGAGGGGCAACCGGAACAGAATCCGGCGCCCCGACCGGGACTAGAACCCAGTGTGCCGGCGCCGCAAGGCGGAGGATAGTGAGCCACGGCGCTGGCTGCACATCCATATCATTAACATGACACTTTGTAGGTGTAAAACAAATTATAAAATCTAACACTGATAAGAGCAATTTCAAAGAGCTAAGTAAGAAAAGAATGGCTTAAACAACAAATGTAGTACACAGTTATATAAACAGCATAAGAAATGTACATATATTTACTAGTATACATATAAAATTCCTGGGTAAAGATACACAGGCAACTAGTAACAGACTGCCTACTGGTAAACAAGTGAGTGGCTGGGGGGCCAACAGTGTGGTGTAGTGGATAAAGCTGCTGCCTGTGACAGCAGCATCCTACGTGGGTGCCATTTTGTGTCCTGGCTGCTCCACTTCCTAACTAGTTCCCTGCAAATAGCCTGAGAAAAGCAGTAGAAATTGGCCTAGGTGTTTGGGCCCCTGCTACTCATGTAGGGGACCCTGATAAAGCTCCTGGCTATTGCAGCAATCTAGGGAATGAACCAGTGGATGGAGATCTTTTAACTCTTTCAATAGAAATAAATAAATAAATCTTAAAAAAAAAAAAAAAACTTTTTAATAGAAATGAACAGAGGTCCACTACAACAGGTATTCATTTTGAATAAAGATGGTCTCTTTCTCAGCTCTCTCCTCACACATTTCCTGAGACTTAGTCTTTGTGGCCCAGATACCTGGGATGCTGTGGGGACAGAATAGAGATGACTTCCCCCCCAAGGAACTCATATTTTCTGTCATGCATCAGTAAACCGGTAATAGCTCTCTATCTCCTAAAACCAAATGGCGGGACCGGTGCTCTGGCACAGCAAGTAAAACCGCCGCCTACAGTGCCAACATCCCACATGAGTGCCACTCCTGACTGCTCCACTTCTGATCTAGCTCTCTGCCGTGGCCTGGGAAAGCAGTGAAAGGTCCAAGTCTTTTAGGACCCTGCATCCACATGGGAGAGTGGGAGATGGCGAAGAAGCTCCTCGTGCCTGGCCTCAGACTGGCGCAGCTCCAGCTGTTGTGGCCATCCGGGGAGTGAACCAGTGGATGGAAGGTCAGTCTATCTCTCTCCACCTCTCTGTAATTCTGCCTTTTAAATAAATAAAATAAACCTTAAGCAAAAGAAAAAAAAAGGCAACTGTGGAAAAAAATGGCCAAAAGACATTTTTGATGTGAAAATAAATTCTAAAACTTTTGAAAATTCTCCACTACTCTGAAAGAGGAGTCTCAGGGAGGGTATATTACCAGGTAACCTAGTCCTATATTTGATTCTTCCCTACTGAAACTGTAGCAGTCAATGAGACAGAATACAGAAGGGGAAACTAAAAAGTTGCAAGGAAGGACAGAAAAAGACACAACAATCCCAAAAGGAAAGAACTGAGAAACTAGAAAAATAATAAAATAAAAATTTCAAAAAATAAGATATTAACCAACAGATTCAAGAAGCCTAAGATACATCAAGCAAGACAAAAAAAGTGGAAGGGGCATCATAGCACAAGTCAAGCTGCCACTTGGGATGGCTGCATCCCATATCAGAATTCTCTGGTTCAAGTTATACAAACTCAGCTTCTGATCCAGTTTGCTGCCAATGCATCCTGGGGGGCAGCAGGTGACGGCTGATGTCTTTGAGCCCCGCCACTCACACGGGAGACTCTGGTCTCCTGGCTTTGGCCTGGCCCAGCCTTATCTGTTGTCCTGCATGTCAGGGACTCAAGTACTTGAGCCATCACCCACTGTCTCCCAGGGTATGTGCTGGCAAGAAAGCAGAATCTGAGACAGAGCTAGCACTTGAACTCAGGCACTCCCAAGTGTGCTCACTCTTAAAGTCAATATTGTATGAACAGCTGTTAACTTGGAGAACCCCTAAGTAAATTTAGTATTAATGTTAAAATTTAAGATATAACACTACAATGATGCAACAACATGAAAAGGCTACTAGTAATCCAAAACTTACTGCAAAACTAACTTATTGCCATCGATGGAAAACAAGTATCTCAATTCTCAAGACTGTATTGTAAAGAGGCCAGCGCTGTGGCAAAGGTTAAGCATCCGCCTGTGACATTGGCATCCCACATGGGCCCCTGTTCAAGTCCGCTGCTCCACTCCTGATCTCACTCCCTGTTGATGGCCTGGGAAAGCAGCAGAAGATGGCCCAAGTGCTTGGGACCTTGCACCCTATAGGAGACCCAGAAGCTCCTGGCTCCTGATTGGCCCAGCTCCAGCCATTGCGACCACCTGAGTAGTGAACCAGCAGCTAGAAAACCTCTCTGGCCGGCACAACGGCTCACTAGGCTAATCCTCCGCTTTGCGGCGCCGGCACACCAGATTCTAGTCCCGGTTGCCCCTCTTCCAAGCCAGCCGCCAGCACGCCAGCCGTGGCGGCCATTGGAGGGTGAACCAACGGCAAAGGAAGACCTTTCTCTCTGTCTCTCTCTCACTGTCCACTCTGTCAAAAAAAAAAAAAGAAAAGAAAAAAAGAAAGAAAGAAAACCTCTCTGTCTCCCTCTCTGACTGTAACTATGCTTCTCAAGTAAATAAATAAATATATTAAAATCTAGGTTTGAAGGTCTACACAGAGCTAAAATTCTAAACACCAAAACCCAGCTCCCAGGTACTTAAGTCCTGAGGCAAAGGAAGATTTCAACTGCAACACAACAGTCTATGAAGAACATCAGGCTCTGTGCCATCTCTCCACAACCTCCTCCAACATCAGGCCGAATCAATTTGAGCCCCTGGCAGAAAGGTTTCCTGTAGGGTTGCATCCATGGGACTCACTCACCTCAGGGTATTTGTGGAGATGGCCACAATACCCTCTGGACACTGTTCAGATGCAAAGCCTGATGCAAATTCCAGGGTCTCATAAGACAGAGGAGTCAGATGGAAGCGAGACTGGTAAGAATAACTCAACCATGAGCGGCTTGACATGGCCAATACCTGAGAAGGAAAAACCACCTCCAGTAAGACTGGGAAAAACTGAAACATGGTATACGCACCGAACACCTTATTCCCAAATTTCAGTCCACAGAACATCAAGGGATTTTAGAAACCTAAAGGGCTACTTTAAGAAGTCTAGAAGAGGCAACATACGACTGCATGTATGCCAAATCCCTGGGTTACTAACCATATGACCTAGCCTAATCAGTGCCTTTAAGCCTGTCTCCACATGCCTAAAATGGAATATTCTCATGAGGCTGGACACCTGCAAGAATTAAGAACCAGCCCTGTGCTCAGCAAGATTAATATTCTTAATTTCAAAGGATATAATATTTCCAAATCTCCATCTTATATAGCAAACTATGATATTAAGACTGCGATAAACCTGACAAGATTACTCAAGGTAATGGTATCCTAGACAGGAGGTTACCAGCTACTCCTTACCACTATTTGCCCAGGCTTATAGTTGTAGGGATCAATACATATAACCAAATCATGACAAACTGCCATAGAAACCAAGTTAAGAAGCTCTGGATTAAGGAACACATGACTTCCACATAAAGGAAACCAATACGGAGCTAGAGTCAAACCAACCAATATACTGGGAGTACAGCTTACACCAAAGGGATTATTCTCTGCTGGAACCACAAGCATCTGAATGTGCTGCTTGCTCCTTTTTATTACTTACAGCTTCTTGGCCTTGCATCCGAACACGAAACAGCTTCACAGGACGGGACCCCAAGTACCTAGTGCGAGTGTCAGAGAGATCTCCAGTGACAGGGTCCAGGACAGTTCTCAGCAGCACACCATTCTAATCAAAAGCAAAGGAATGAATGAGGGCAATTCACGATGGAAGCTTACCACCTGTGAGGAAAGCCCTTGATTGGCAATTAATAAATAAAGAGTACATGGAAAGAAATGACCTGGCAGTTTAAAAAATCCTAGTGATTAGATGTTACGCATTACCAAGTTACTCATTCATTCATTCACAGTTACAGAGCACATATAGGAAGTGAAAAATACTGGTGGTGCACTATATATATATTGCCATACATGTTAAACTTTATACATTCTAAAACAGATTCACAGTTAAAAATAACCAAGGAGGCCAGCGCTGTGGTGGAATGGGTAATGCCACTGCCTGTAGTGCTGGCATCCCATATGGGCACCAGTTCAAGCCCCAGATGCTCCACTTCTGATCCAGCTCTCTGCAATGGCCTGGAAAAGCAGTAGAAGATGGCTTAAGTCCTTGGGCCCCTGCATCCAAGGGAGACTTGTAAGAAGCTCCTAGCTCCTGGCTTTGGATTGGCCCAGCTTCAGCTGATGCGGCCATCTGGGGAACTAACCAGTGGATGGAAGATTTCTCTCTCTCTCTGTGCCTCTGCCTCTCTAATAAATAAATAAATCTTAAAAACAAAAACAAAAAATCAAGCCTGTTAACTCTTGTCTCCGAACAACATTTCCCCAAAGAAGAAATGACTAATTCAGGGCCAGCGCAAAAATGTTCCTGATGTATGAAACATCCTGTCCAAGAAAGATGATGGTCCCAAAAGGAACAAGCCCTTAAGAGAAATGACTAGGGACCGGCACTATAGCATACCAGGTAAAGCCACTACATGCAATGCTGGTATCCCATATGGGCACGAGTTTGTGTCCTGGGTGCACCACTTATAAACCAGCTCCCTACTGATGACCTGGGAAAAGCAGCAGAAGATGGCCTAAGTATTTGGGCCCCTGCTACCCACATGGGAGACCTGGATGAACTCCTGACTTGGCCTGGCCCAGCCCTGGCCATCGCGGACATCTGTGGAGTGAACCAGCAGATGCAAGACTTCTCTGTATTTCCCCCTAATTTTGACTTCAAATTGGAAAAAAAAAAAAAAAAAAAAAAAAAAAAAAAAAAAAAAAACTGTGACTATGGCAAAATGCAAAAGAGAGAAATGACTTATGTGTGACTATGGCAAAAATGCCCCAGATTCATGTGGAACATCTTGTACAAGGCACAGAAACCTCAAAAAATAGTGGGGTCATATTAAAAAAAATAAAAGAACCAACTTCAAAGAACTCTAATTTTTCTAAAATGAGGCAATTTACCATCACCCTCCCACCAAGACTGTTTGAAGCAAAAACATACAAAAACCCAAGTTTACATTACTTAATTAACAAAAACCCACTTCAACGCTCCCCACTGAAGGGAGATTGCTAGGACCTTAACTCAAACCCTAAAGAGATGAACAAAGGGAAAAAAAGGATGCATTTATCTCTTTCTTGTGTGAACTATATTTAGGGTAACCGAAGAAATGAACTCTTTAAAGAGGTCTAGCTAGTTAAACATAAAAAGAAACAGAACAGGGGCTGGCGCAGTGGCCTAGTAGGTAAAGCAGCCACCAGCATTGCCAGCATCCCATATGGGCGCTGGTACTAGTCCCAGCTGCTCCACTTCTAATCCAGCCCTCTGCTATCGCTTGAAAAAGCAGCAGAAGATGGCCCAAGTGCTTGGGCCCCTGCACCCATGTGGGAGACCTGGAAGAAGCTCCTGGCTCCTGGCCTCAGATGGGTTCGGCTCCAGCCACTGTGGCCATTTGGGGAGTAAACCAGTGGATGGAAGGCCTCTCTCTGCCTCTCTATAACTCTGCCTTTCAAATAAAATAATCTTAAGAAAAAAAAAAAGGAACATCAAGATTTCCTAACCCCTAAAGAAATACTAAATCTAGGCAATGTGTACTATCAGCTGTCAAGAAAAATGTTGACAAGGAGCTCTGAAACAGGTAACGGATTCAAACATCAATCAAAGTAGGAAAACTTCTTTAAGTGATGCCAACATAGAATAAACAGCACTACCTAGAAAATACTATTGCCTCCCCTCCAATTCCAAATAATTAAATCTCATCAACTTCTTTGTCTATGTTATCCAATACAAAAGCCATCAAGCTACAGGTGGCCATTAAGTGTTGAGATAATTCTGTTAAATGTAAACTGTCAAATTTCAGTTTTCAAAGACCTATTATAAAAAATAAGCAATTTTATATTGATTACATATTTAAACTGCAATAAAACATTAAAATTAATTTCATTTGTTCCTTTTTCTAGCTACAGAACTACAGAAAGGGGGCTGGCACTGTGGCACAGTGGGTTAAAGCCCTAGCCTAAAGCGCCGGCACCCAGTATGGGCGCCGGTTTTAGTCACGGCTGCTCCTCTTCTGATCCAGCTCTCTGCTTTGGCCTGGGAAAGCAGAAGAAGATGGCCCAAGTCCTTGGGCCCCTGCACCCACGTGGGAGACCCAGAGGAAGCTCCTGCCTCCTGATTTCGATCAGTGCAGCTCCAGCCATTGCGGCCATCTGGGGAGTGAACCAACGGATGGAAGACACCTCTCTCTCTCTCTCTCTGCCTCTCCTTCTCCTTCTGTGTAACTCTGATTTTCAAATAAATAAATCTGTAAAAAAAAAACTACAGAAAGTTTAAATTATACATGCAGCTCACCTTGTATTTCTTTCTTTTTTTTTTTTTAAGGTTTATTTAATTGTCTGAAAGGCAGAGTTACAGATACCGTCCATCCATTGGTTCGCTCCCCAAATGGCTACAACAACTGGGGCTGAGCTGCGCCCAAGTCAGAAGCCAGGAACTCCATCGAGGTCTCCCACGACGGTGGCAGGGGCCCAAATACCTGAGCCATCTCCTGCTGCGTTCCCATGCACAATAGCAGGGAGATGGATGGGAAGTATAAAAATTGGAACTTCAACTGGTACTCATATATGATGCCAACACTGTATCTAACTCCATCTGTGCCACAATGCCAGTCCCAAGCCTTGTATTTTTGTTTGTTTTGTTTTTTGACAGGCAGAGTGGACAGTGAGAGAGAGACAGAGAGAAAGGTCTTCCTTTGCCGTTGGTTCACCCTCCAATGGCCGCCCCGGCTGGCGTGCTGGCGGCTGGTGCATTGCGCTGATCTGAAGCCAGGAGTCAGGTGCTTCTCCTGGTCTCCCATGGGGTGCAGGGCCCAAGCACTTGGGCCATCCTCCACTGCACTCCCGGGCCACAGCAGAGAGCTGGCTTGCAAGAGGGGCAACTGGGACAGAATCCACTGCCCCGACCGGGACTAGAACCCAGTGTGCCAGTGCTGCAGGCAGAGGATTAGCCTATTGAGCAGTGGCGCCAGCCAAGTCTGCTTTACTTTCAATTCAGCTCCCCGCTGGTAGCCTGGGAAAGCAGTGGAAGATGGCCTAAGTGCTTGGGCCCCTGTACCCATGGGATGAAACTCCTGACTACTGGTTTCATTCCAGTCCAATCCTGATCATTGCAGTCATTTGGGGAGTGAACCAGCAATTGGAAGACCTTTCTCCTTCTCTTTTTCCCTGACTTTCCCTTTAAAACTGTGTACATGGAGGCTCATTAGATTAATATCTTTAGTTTTATTTTTTTAAAGACTTTGTTTTCCATCCACTGGTTCACTCCTCAAGTGGCTGCAATGGCCAGAGCTGGGCCAACCCAAAGCCAGGAGCCAGGAACTTTTTCTGGGTCTCCTACATGGGTATAGGGGCCCAAGCACTTGGGCCATCCTCCACTGCTTTCCCAGGTCATAGCAAAGAGCTGGATTAGAAGAGGAGCTGCCAGGACTCAAACCAGCACTCATATGGGACGCCTGCACTGCAAGCAGAGGATTAACCTAGTACACCACAGCACTGGCTCCTAGTGTCTCTAATTTCTATGTTTGAGGATTTCTAGATTAGAAAGTAAAATTAAAAACCAGAAAGTACCTGGGCTAGATAAAATTGCTGAGTAAATAAGCATTAAGGAAAATAAAAAACGCTATCAAAAACCTCGACTCTGATCATTAGGTTTCTGCTGTTCTTTGGCAAGAAGAGCTCAGGCTAGTTTGACAACAGGGAACACGTATAGGTCCTTACTAACGCAGCCAATTGTGATCTGTGAGGTAATTCATTTCAAGAGCTGACTACTATGGGACTCACAGGTGACCTTGAGAATGCAATGGCTTCGTAGCAACTGCAAAGCGCTGTCAGATGTGAACGCTCTACAAATACTTTTTCTCTCTCCAAATATTCCTCAGGTTTCATTTGTTCTAATTAAAGAGCTGAGAAAAGTGGAATGGAGAGCAATGCCATTCATTTTCCTACACTGAGTCTCTGATACCAAGTGCACAAAAATGCCTGTGTAGGACAATGGAGTACAAGGAACCTACAGACAGGCTGATACCAACAATGTGAGTTTCTGGATTTCTTACCTGTAGCCCAATATTCAAGTATAGGAATCCAATAGAGCCCCTCTCACCCAGCTCATCCTGCTTCTCCGTTCCCCCCATTTCCACAATACACAAGGACTCAGGCTGGGCTGGGAGAGCCTGCATGCTCAGAGGTTGCAAACAGTCCTGGGGCGGGAAGGGAGAGAAAATCATAAAAATCACAATAAATGATCAATTTTAGAAAGACATCCCTAAGAGGAATCTAATTCTAGGACTGAAGTACTCTAGTGGGCAGAGAAAACCCCAAGACTGATTTCTAAGGGGGGGGACATCTGGGCATAAGCTTTGAGAGTAACATGCCTTATTATGTTAAAACATACAATGGAAGAGTAAATAAGCAAAGGACACCTCCCTCAAAGCCATCAAAAGCCCTGGAGCAAGTCAATTGCTCCTATGCAAACACAGAGGGATAAAACATACCCAACTCAGCCCGAGATCCTATATCCAGAGGGGAAAGCAACTGTTTGGTTTCTTTAAGCTTCTTTGCTGATTTTTAAAAAACTACACAGGGAAACCAAAGCTTATGCCAAAGAAATATCTCATAGTCTCAGTTGAGCATCCTCAAACCACAGCGGAGGATGCCTGGGCTATGTTGCAATGGTAACCAATAGACATAGCAACATAGACTGTGGAGCCCAGTCCTGCTAATCTCAAGAGACACCATGCACAGGCCAGGTACTCGGGTTAAACCAGAAGATCCTTGAATACAAGGGCATCACTCACCGAGGGGTCCAGGGAGATAATTCGGACAGTATTGTCTACCAGTCCCACAGCCAGGAAACGAGACCGCTGTTCTCCAGGAGGCACATTGGCCAGACTCATGCACACCACATCTGCTGACATCTCTTTCCGTTCTGTGTACTCATTCAGCTGTCCTGACTAGAGAAAGGAAAGGTCACAAAGTACAGGGCGAAAGAAATACCCTAATTCACCCACAAACCCTACACCCAGGAGACAGGAAGGGAAGCAGACTGTTTAAGGTTTCTTTCAGCTTTCTTTCATTACTCTAAATAGAGACAGCCAAGAGTTTCCCTACCCAAGAGCCAAAGATTGAACTTCATAAGCTAACCATAAACAAAATTACTTTCTCCCACTGACAAGACAATCAAGAGACCTTTGACAAGTTCAATGTACCACAAATTTTCTAAGCAAACCAGCTATCAAGAAACAAAAACTGCTCATTCATGAGAAAACCTTGAGTGAAAGGAATTCATATGTGATAAACACAAAGCTGTAACAAACACTAAGACTATGAAAACTGGCTATGTTGGAGATTTCCTAAGAGCAAAAAAAAAAAAAGAGAGAGAGAGAGAGAGACAGAGTTATCTACCATCCTTCCATATTAGAAGAGCAAAGGAACAACTCAGACACAAATTCAGATTGCAGACACAAATCTATGCCAAACTTCAGTTGGAAAAGTAGAGTGCGAACTGCATTAAGACAACTGTCTCATTGCTAAGAAGATATTTCTAATTCTAATTAGAATTAGGTATCACCTTATTCTTTCCTCTTTTCTATAAAAATGCCTGGTTTGCTAATGGACACTTTCACTCCTCAATACTTTTTGTGAATATAATATAGATGCCTGGACTACAACTCCCACAGTGGATGATAAAAATAACATACAGGATCCATCTCAAAATAGACCAGCTCTCCTCCTGTCAGGGCAATCACCACTTGTCGCTGGTTCACCGCACACTTCACAATTGTCTTCTTTCCAGGAGTCTTCCACTCGTTGACTCTCTTGTCTGCCCGTATGTGCCGAATGCCATCTGGGTACACCTAGAGGCAAAAACACTCATCACTGACAACAACCTGCAACACCTATCAGATCTGATACCCCATCCTTACCCAAAGGAGATGTTAAGACATTGAATGTGAAGCCCATGAAGAGTAAACTACAAAAGCACCAAGGAAGGTGGTGGAAGATGCCAAGAGCCTGGCACCCACCACATAAGGGGCCCAGATATAGTTCCAGGTTCCTGGCTTTGGCCTGGACCAGCACCAACCATTGCAGCCATTTGGGGAGTAAACCAGCATATGGAAAATTTCTCTAACTCTGTTTCAAAAAAGAAAGGAAGATGAAAAATAATGTATTAGAAAAAAAACTATTGGGGCTAGTGCTGTGGTGCAGTAGGTTGATTCTCCACCTCCAGCACCAGCATCCCATATGAGCACTGGTTCTAATCCCAGCTGCTCCTCTTTCAATCCAGCTCTCTGCTATAACCTGGAAAAGCAGTTCAATTTGGCACAAGCCTTGGGCCCCTGCACCTACGTGGGAGACCTGAAAGAAGTTCCTAGTTTCAGGTCGGCCCATCTCTGACTGCTGCAGCTGTTTTGAGGAATGAATCAGCGGATGAAAGACTTTTTCTGTCTCTCCCTTTCACTATCTGTAACTCTACCACTCAAATAAATAAAATCTTAAAAAAAAAAGAGAACAGTTTCTTTAAAAAAAAAAAAAACCCTCTTTGATAAAAATGAAAGCATTTATGGTATGTGTCAGTAACATAGAAATGGCAGAAAGGATGTCATGCACCAAAATTCTAAAACTGGATTATTATTATTTTTTTTTGACAGGCAGAGTGGACAGTGAGAGAGAGAGAGACAAAGGTCTTCCTTTGCCGTTGGTTCACCCTCCAATGGCCGCTGCGGTCGGCGCACCACATTGATCCGATGGTAGGAGCCAGGTGCTTCTCCTGGTCTCCCATGGGGTGCAGGGCCCAAGCACTTGGGCCATCCCCCACTGCACTTCTGGGCCACAGCAGAGAGCTGGCCTGGAAGAGGGGCAACCGGGACAGAATCCAGCGCCCCGACCGGGACTAGAACCCGGTGTGCCAGCGCTGCAGGCAAGCGGAGGATTAGCTTATTGAGCTGCGGTGCCAGCCAAAAAGCTGAATTATTTAAAATCTGAAAGAACTGGGGTCGGCGCTGTGGCGTAGTAGTTTACGCATCCACTTGCAGCACTGACATCCCATATGGGCAAGAGCTCAAGTCCCAGCTGATCTTTTTCTGATCAGGCTCTCTGCTTATGGCCTGGGAAAGCAATAAAGAAGGGCCAAGTGCTTGGGCCTCTGCACCTGCACAGGAGACCCTGAGGCAGCTCTGGGCCTCCTGGCTCTAGGCTTGGGATTGGCCCAGATCTGGGCACTGCAGCCATTTGGGGAGCGAACAGTAGATGGAAGATCTCTCTCTCTCTCCCTTTCTTTGTCTGTAACTCTGCCAATGAAGTAAATAATTTTTTTTTAAAAAAAAGATTTATTTATTTGAAAGTCAGAGTTACACAGAGAGGAGAGGAAGAGAGAGGTCTTCCATCCGCCTGGTTTACTCCCGAATTGGCCGCAATGGCCAGAGCTGTGCCGATCTGAAACCAGAAGCCAGGAGATTCTGGCCCATGCAGGTGCAGGGGCACAAGGACATGGGCCATCTCCTACTGCATTCCCAGGCCACAGCAGAGAGCTGGACCTGAAGTGGAGCAGCTGGGACTTGAATTGGCGCCAATATGGGATGCCAACACTGCAGGTGGTGGCTTTTACCCACTATGCCACAGCACCAGGCCCAAATAAATCAATCTTTAAATAAAATAAAATAAGGGCCGGTGATGGGGTGCAGTGGTTTAAAGCCCTAGCTTGCAGTGCCAGCATCCCACACGGGCACTGCTTTGAGTCTCTGCTGCTCCACTTCGGATCCAGCTCTCTGCTTTGGCCTAGTAAAGCAAGAGTGCTGGCTCCTGGCTTTGGATCAGCTCAGTTCTGGACACTGAAGTCATTCGGGAAGTGAACCAGCGAATGGAAAATCTTTTTCTCTCTCTCTCTCTGGCTCTACTTCCCTCTGTAACACTTTCAAATAAATAAAATGAATCTTTTAAAACAAAATCTGAAAGAACTAATTCTTAGGCCAGTTCTCTATGTTAACAAAGGTGAGAGTGAAGAGAGACAGGAACACAGCAGCCTATAGCCAATGAAGGCAAAGAAAGGACAACACAAGCTAAGTAGGAAGTAAGCCCTGAGACTCCTCACCTGCACCAGGGCATCATCTCCCAGTAAGGAGCAGGACAAGGTTGGGGTGGTGCCCAGAAATCCCGAATCAGTCACTTCTTCCACAGTCTCTCCAATGGATAGCACAAGAGTGGCATTCACGAAAGACACAATGATATAAGCATCAAACTCATCTGAAAAAGCAAAGAAAAAATTTGGTCAGGTAACAACTCATTAGGATTAAAAGCCAAATGAGATACTAACAGCTCTCTCTTCAGAAATTTTCCAAGGTACTTCTCTGTGTAGTCACCACACACCACAGAACACAGCATGATTCTGAAGATATGGACAGTCATACCAGCCTACAAAGATACTTGCTTCCTCTGATGCCTAAGGACACTTAAGAACATATGAAAACTAGTATTCTGATACATTTGCTGGAGAAACAAGAAAGGACAAAGCAAGGGAATCAGAAGAAGGAAGATATTTTGAACACTACGATATTTATATATATAGAAAAAGTGAATTAGAACTTGTTTATTATGCAAATTGCCAATAATAACCCATAAAGAAGATACTCATTAAAACTAGGAAGGAACCCTAATTACTTTATTTTTTTTTTAAGATTTATACATTTATTTGGAAGTCAAGAGTTACACAGAGAGAGAGAGAGAGAGAGAAATGTCTTCCATCTGCTGGTTCACTCCCCAACTGGCTCTGATGACCAGGAGCTACACCAATCTGAAGCCAGGAGCTTCTTCCGGGTCTCCCACATGGGTCCAGGAGCCCAAGAACTTCGGCCATTCTCTACTGCTTTCCCAGGCCATAGCAGAGCTGGATCAGAAGTGGAACAGCCAGGACTCAAACTGGTGCCTACAGGGATGCCAGCACTGCAGGCAGAGGCTTTACCTGTTACACCACAGCGTCAGCCCACTTCTTTAAGCTTACATAGAGGGCTAGCAATGTGGCATAAAGGGTAAAATCACTGCCCACAATACCAGCATCTGTATAGGCACTGGTTCACATTATGGCTGCTCCACTTCCAATCCAGCTCCCTGCTAATAGACTGAGAAAAGCAGAAGACACTCCAAGCATGTTAGGGTCCTTGCCACCAACAACACGGGAGACGCAGATGAAGTCCCTGGCTTCTGCCTGTGTCAGCCCTGGCCAATGCAGCCATCTGGGGAGTGAATCAGCACATGGAAGATTTCTCTCTGTAACTCTGATTTGCAAATAAACTAATTTTTTAAAGCAGTTAATACAGGAACACAATGAATAAAACATAGCTTAATCTTTGAAGTGACTAAGTCATTCTAGGGTTGGAAACTATTTCCAATGGGAATGATACTAAGAACACCAGACAAGGAGGAAGTGTGGAGCACCTGAGAGGGAGTTGTTTATGCTGTCAGTCCTTGACCTCTCTGACTTTTCACTATTTAAAAATACAACAATCCCATGGTCATGAACAATTCTACTAGGATTTGCTGTCTATAATGAAATGCAGTTGTATTAACAAACAATAATGAGCTTCCTAAAGTCAGGTGACCGGAGGTATACAGGTAATTCCATGTTTCTCCTGCAGATTCCATAGTTAAAGGCCATCTGTTTCCCATATATCCCACTCTAAAATAGCTTGTGTGTATGTCTCCCACAAGCAGCACAATGTTTAATATAAAAGCTTCACAAACAATGAATAAAGGCATTTTTATTTTTAAAGAGTTGAGATTTTCCTGCTTTATATCTGAATCTTTAATCTTCTCCCCCTTTTTAAGCCCCTTAATAAGAAGCCAGGTAAATAAGGGAGAAAATAACAAGAAAAGGTAATAAATTATAGTGGCAGGCCGGCGCCGCGGCTCACTAGGCTAATCCTCCGCCTTGCGGCACTGGCACACGGGGTTCTAGTCCCGGTCAGGGCACCGGATTCTGTCCCGGTTGCCCCTCTTCCAGGCCAGCTCTCTGCTGTGGCCAGGGAATGCAGTGGAGGATGGCTCAAGTGCTTGGGCCCTGCACCCCATGGGATACCAGGAGAAGCACCTGGCTCCTGGCTTCAGATCAGCGCAGCGCGCTGGCGTGGCGGCCATTGGAGGGTGAACCAACGGCAAAAAGAAGACCTTTCTCTCTGTCTCTCTCTCACTGTCCACTCCACCTGTCAAATAAATAAATAAATAAATTATAGTGGCTAATCTCACTTATAGCAGTAGCAGCCACAGGATCTTTTGTGCCTGAACCCTTGTCAGAGTTCATTCAGTATCAACTCCTGATCCAAACCTCCAAAAAGACACTCTGGTACTGACAGCTCCAAATGAAGTCTAGGTGAACTAAAGTTGCTAGATTAGCTCAGCAGAATCAGTATTCTTCACAGGAGCTTAAGTTAAGATGCATCATTGGTGTCACCTCTAGCAGCATTCTTACTAGCAGGATATAAAAGCAATTTGGGGGGCTGGCACTGTGGCATAGCAGGTAAATTTGCCTCCAGCATTGCCAGCATTTCATATGGGCGCCGGTTCAAATCCCAGCTGCTCCACTTTTGATCCAGCTCTCTTTATGGCCTGGAAAGCAGAAGATGGCCCATGTCCTTGGGCCCCTGCACCCACATGAAAACCCCAGAAGAAGCTCTTGGCTTCTGGATCCGGATCAGTGCAGCTCCAGCCACTGCAGCCAATTGGGGAGTAAACCAGTGGATATAAGACCTCTCTCTGCCTCTCCTCTGTGTAACTCTGACTTTGAAATAAATAAATAAATCTTAAAAAAAAACAAAAAAAGCAATTTGGAAGGTTGTCATCAGTACTAATGATAAAAGTAATTTATGAAACTGCTTCACATACAGTTAAGTATTGTTTTGTGAAGCTTTTGTTTCAGTTAACAATGTAACTATATACTTTTGTGGCTGAAAACCTAGGATTAAAGATCTATCCCAATGAGTGAGGAATCCAGAGAGTAAAGAATTAAGGAATTAATGGACAAGATGTTTTGTGCTTAATTATTTTAACTGTGAAGACATACACATTCTTTGAGGACATCTTATAAAACAGCTTTGTAGACTTAAGCACTGCTCACTATCATGAGTAAGGACTTGGTTGTCCTTCAAATGCATGTCTGAATAACTCAAAACCAAAACCCAGGATCAGTGTTGCAGTACAGTGGGTTAAGCTGCCACCTGCAATGCCAGCTTTCTATAAGGGTGCTTGGTTCAAGTCCTAGCTGCTCCACTTCCAATCTTGGTCCTTGCTAACAAACCTAGAAAAGCAGGTGAAGATGGCTTGGGCCTCTACACTCACATAGGAAACCCAGAAGAAGCTTTCGGTTCAGCTTGGCCCAGCTTGGCTACTGTGGCCATGTGGGGAGTTAACTAGAGGATGAAAGATCGGTCTCCCCCAACTTCTGTAACTCTACCTTTCAAATAAATAAAATTAAAAAAACAAAATCCAGGGCTGGCACTGTGGCATAGCAGGTTTTAAAGCAGCCGCCTGCAGTGCTGGCATCCCATATGGGCACCATGTCAAGTCCCAGCTGCTTCACTTCTGATCCAGCTCTCTGCTATAGCCTGAGAGAGCAGTAGAAGATGGCACAAGCTCTTGGGCCCCCGCACCCACATGGGAGACCCAGAAAAGCTCTTGGCTTCTGACTTCAGACTGGCGCAGATCCAGCCACTAGGGCCATATGGGGAGTGAACCAGCGGATGGAAGACATCTCTCTCTTCTTCTCTTTGCAACTGCCTCTCAAGTAAATATTTAAAAAAAGAAAAAATCCAGCTCCACATGACACAAACTCAAAAGCTTTACTCTAATGCTCAGCTTTTGAACCAGAAATTGCTAATCTTCAAAAGTAACAAAAGTTGCTTTATTTTGTTATACAAACACCATATAATTTCCCAAAGCCCCAGACTGCTGATATATAAAAGATGGACTGAAATAAATTGGGCAAATCAATGAGTGATAAAGCAGCCACTCACGTCTGAAAACTGCTTTCCATCAAATTCGCTCAAATTATCAACCATCACTCTGTCAACAACACACTCTAAATTCTACTCTTTCCACCCTAGGAGATCATACGTTGAAAGTTGGATAAGAAAACCAAGCTTGAAATGAAGTCACTGACTTAAGAAGTATAAATACCCACAGTCTTTTCGTAGGGACTGCAAGTCTCAAGTTCTCAGAGGAGAAGCAACTAGGGCATGAGAAGTCATTGTTAGGCCACAGTTACTAGACTTCTATCTGAGCACTGCCATAGCAGTTTCCCTTAACCTCGGAGTTCAATAAGCAACTCATTCCAAAGGGTACAGTGAGCCACCATCCTGTACCTTATTCTCATTTCACATTCGGAAGACCTGGTGCTTATTGTGCCTTAGCACTTTCCTGAATATACTCAAGTGCTTTGTCTAGGTCCTTATCTTTCAGTCAGCACACCTGGAATGTACAACTCTAAAGGATAGTAGGAAACTAAGGTTTTCTGGCTACAGACTCTCTCAAGTTTAGTCAAAGATAACCTAGTCATATTTTCCAAGTTCTGTGGGACAAAATGGAGACACTGATTCTTGCCTCTGACCAGATGGATGTGCACCACAACAGCATCCAATTGCAAAGTTACCCTCTGAAAGATGCCCTTAGGGCAGCCTCAATATTTTGTCTAGGTCCCTCTCCCTGGATAACTCTAAGACCCCACAGTAGATCCTAGCAGTAGGTACACACCTGTGGTGATCAGCACCTTCACCAGCCACCTGTGGAAGAGAAAAAAAGGCTTGGTATTGGTAGTATGCATCACCAAGTACCAGCCAAGGTTAGTATTTGCCTAGAAGACTGCAGCACGGGTGGACAGAGGAATGTTCACTCATCAGTAACTTAGAATATCTGGAAAGAAAACGTACAAAAAGAAACTGGCCTGTTTTTGTGAATGATTTACCAGATAACGGTATCTAAGATTAAAATTTATCTGGATACAGTTCTTTCTTGGACTTTACTATTTAACAGAAAACTTTTCAGCTGTAGGTTCTGTCCTGTAGCATACTGCTTATCATCAAGTGAGCAAACATTTCTCTAAAGAGTCTGCCCTAATGCTCAAACACAGGCCCATTCACTGTGCTCCAGCCCCTCCCAGCAACTGCTTGTGCCTTTTATCACACTAAAACAATAGTTTTGTATGCGTGTCTTTGTTTTTAGTAGGCAAGTACATTGACACAGAAGTTCTGTGTTTTTTACTCTGAGTCCACATGTATACTCAAATGACTATAGGATGGAGGTACAGAATTTATCCTGAAAATAACCAGCCAACACCCACAAAACCCTATAGCAATGTCTATCAAAATAAACATTACATTGGATTTCAGGAGACAGAATTTTGCGACCCTATTATCTAGAGGTGTTATCTTGAAAGAGTCAACGCTTTATTTTCGTCCTTTTCATAAAAATGAGGGGTTAACTTCTGTAAACCTAAATCTGTTTTAAAACAAAAAGTTTATCTAAAAACGTTAAGAGGAAAAAAAAGGGCAAACTAGGTTATTTCAAAGCATGCTTCTAGTTTAAACCGTCCAGGCAATGTTTCTAAAAGCAATAATCTATCAATAAGCTAGCAAGCCAAAAGTGAATACCAACACTGATCACCTTCTCTATGTCAACATTAAAACCAAGTACCTAATAAGTATCTACTCAGCTAAAATGAAACTACCAATTTGCTATTCACTTTCCCCATCTTTCTACAGAACTTTTATGTCACTGATGCTTACAATGAAAACAAAATTCACAAAAATGTGCAATAATCTACTAATGGAAAGAGGTTTTCCTCCTACACATTTCCCAACACCCTTAAATTTGTTCCACACAACTAGAACATCCAAGTTTCAGGCAGAATCAAAGCTATTTTCTTGAAAAAGCTTTGTCTACCAGACAGGGTGATATTATTCACTAGGCACACATTCCTCAGGAACAAGTAAATTGAGTTCTAGGATCAGAAAAGACCTATAACCCCACAGTGAATCAAAGGGAAAAGGAGGAGTGAATTTATTTCTACAAAATAAATCCAACTGTCACAAGACTTCCCCTGCTCTTGCAGTGCTTTCAGGTAACTTTTTATTGAGGAACTCAGACTCCCACTCCCTTTGCCACGCACCCTAAAATGATCTCATTTAATCAATCTGCTTTTGTTAATAAGAACAGCTGACTAATGAGCATCAGCAAATCTGAATTTCACTGTGGTTTTAGCACAATGAGAGAACAGTTAAAGAAAAAGGAAAAAGAAACAACTTTCCCTCATGTCATACCTCTTACACAGATGGAATCAGTGTCTTTATGAACAAAAACTCAAAGAATATCACACCTAATAGCTCTAAAGTACTGAAATGTTTGCACCGAAATAAGAACAGCTACTCGATGCTCTCCTTATTCACCTGCGCAGAAAGCATCAGGTGAAGGCATCCTGAAAGCCTTAAAACTGTGCTGTTAGGCCAGATAAAGTTTCTGGTGTCAGATGAAGTGATACAGAAATATTATAGGGGGCTGGCACTGTGGCGCAGCTGATTAAATCCCCAGCCTGTAGTGCCGGCATCCCATATGGGTGCCGGTTTTGAGTCCCGGCTGCTCCACTTCCAACCCAGCTCTCTGCTATAGGCTGGGAAAGCAGTAGAAAATGGCCCAAGTCTTTGGGGACCTGTACCCACTTGGGAGACCTGGAAGAAGTTCCTGGCTCCTGACTTTGAATCGGTTCAGTTTTGGTCATTGTGGCCATTTGGAGAGTGAATCAGTGGATGGAAGACCTCTCTCTCTCTCCACCTCCCTCTGTAACTGCATTTCAAATAAATAAAAATAATCAATCTTTATAAAAAAGAAAAGGAAACATTATGAATGCAGTCTCTTGAGTCCTCTATGTCAATGGCACCCAGACCCTCATTATAACTACTAAGAAAAGGCTATTTACCTTCTATGTGCCGACGCACTGTCCAGACAGCATTGGGGTTACCGGGTAGCTCAGAAACAGCCATTTCTGACACCTGATAGGAGAGGAGAGCCACACATCAGTGAGAATTGAACTCAGCTACTTGCTTAGAACTACACTAGAAAAATAAGGTCCCAAATAAACCATTCACATTATATGCTATAATCAAAAAGATGGAACTATCTAGTGAAACACCAATCAAAAACCCCAAAAGGCAATCCTCGTGACAGATTTCAGCAAAAAGTTATGGCATGTCTGGAAGGATACAGTTATTACAGCTAAAATCATATGCTTCATTTGGGGAGGGCACAATTGCATCCTCTTCAGGAAGTCAAGTAATCACTGAAATTGAAATTCAAATAGGCCATCTAAAATAGCATCCTAATATTTACCATCACAGCTAACATGGGGCCAAATTCCATCTCCAAATGCCACAAATAAATACTCCCACACCCTCCTGACTGGCAGTCATCTATCCCTTGCATAAGCACTCATTAAATCAACTGCTTTGTGTTTGCTGTTAGATGTTTATGCTACTTAAAGAGAAAGTTAATAATTGTCTTAATATTCCACAGGTTCTCCAACTTAAGAGTCAAAGAAACACCTAACATGAATTCAAAATGATCTAGAGGGAGAAACCAGCTGTGAGATATACGAAAACTCTGTGTACTATCTCTGTAATTTTTCTGTAAATATAGAACTGTTCTAGGGACAACTGATCGACCAACAGATAAAACGTAACTTGGGGGCCAATGCTGTGGGGTTACAAGTACATAAAGCCACCACCTGTAGGGCCAACATTCCATATGGGCACAGGTTTGAGTCCCCGCTGTTCCACTTTGAATCCAGCTCTCTGCTATGGCCTGGGAAAGCAAAAGTTGAGCCCCTGCGCCTGTGTGGGGGACCCAGAAGAAGTTCCTGGCTCCTGGCTTTGGGGAGCAAACCAGTGGATGGAAGACCTCTCTCTGACTACCTCTCTAACTCTGCCTTTCAAATAAAAAGTAAATCTTTTTTTTTTTTTTTTTTTTTGACAAGCAGGGTTAGACAGTGAGAGAAGAGAGAGAGAGAAAGGTCTTCCTTCCGTTGGTTCACCCCCCAAATGGCCACTACGGCTGGCCGAACCGAAGGCAGGAGCCAGGTGCTTCCTACTGGTCTCCCATGCGGGTATAGGGTCCAAGCACTTGGGCCATCCTCCACTGCCTTCCTGGGCCACAGCAGAGAGCTGGACTGGAAGAGGAGCAACCGGGACAGAACCAGTGCCCCAACTGGGACTAGAACCCAGAGTACCAGCACTGCAGGCGGAGGATTAGCCTAGTGAGCCACAGCGCCAGCCATAAGAAGTAAATCTTAAAAAATAAATAAATAAATAAATAACTTGGATTTAAGTCCTGGCTCTGCTTCTGATTTCAGCCACGGCACAGCCAGGAGCCAGAAATTTAATCTAGGAATATCATGTGGGTGGCAGAGACCCAACCACTTGGGCCATCACTTACTGCCTCCCAGTGTACACATCAGCAGGAAGCTCACTAGGCTAGGTTCTAGTCCCGGTTGCTCCTCTTCCAGTCCAGCTCTCTGCTGTGGCCCACATGGGAGACTAGGAGGAAGCACCTGGCTCCTGGCTTCGGATCAGCGCAGTGCGCCGGCAGCAGCAGCCATTGAGGGGTAAACCAACGGAAAAAGGAAGACCTTTCTGTCTCTCTCTAACTCTGCCTGTCAAAAAAATAAATAAATGAAATTAAAAAATAAAAAATTAAATTTCTGGCTCCTGCTAGAGTCTTGTCATTGCAGGCACTTGGGGAGTGGCCCATGGTTGGGAGCTCACTCTTGCTCTTGAATAACTAAAATTTATACAACCATTCTAAAATAAAAAGTTTACTAAATATTTTTTAACAATCTAGAAATAATAAATTAGTTTACTATGTTGTACTGTTTAACCAAATTACATAGGCTAAGTTAAGGAATACTAAAGATGGAACTACTCTTCTCTTAAGTTAACTCATGTAACAGTAGCAGGAAACCTAAGAACTTCATCAATAAAATAGAAGTGTCAAATATGCTACAACTGACACCAAATGTAAAAGTGACCATCACCCTGCTCACTGAGACCATAAAATACCCAAAAAACAAAGTACAACAAGAAGATATCTAGGAACAAAGTAATGTTAAACTTAAAAGTAACAAAGATGTGTTGAGGAACAGTGTTAAAAGAGGGGAGGCAGAGAGACACAGAGAATGAGGCACAAAGAAAATTACTTTCTATTGGCTGGTTCACTCCTCAAATGCCTGCAATAGCTAGGCCTGGTCCAAGCCAAAGCCAAGTTCAGAATTCAATCCATTTCTCTGATATGAGTGGCATGGATAAAGTTACTTAAGATATCATCTGCTGCCTCCCAAGGTATTTATTAGAAGGAAGCTGGAATTGGAAGCAAAGCCAGGACTTGAACGCAGGCACTCTTAATTCTTAAAGAATCTTAACTCTTAATGAGATCTTTTATACTATCATAAAACTTTGTTAAAGCATGGACACCTTCTTTTGTGGACGCTCACTGAGCAGTCAGCTAAGTAATCAAAATGGACTGCAGAGGGGCCAGTGTTGTGGCACAGTGGGTTAAGCCATGGCCTGTAATGCTGGCATTATAAGGGCACCCGTTTGAGAACTGACAGCTCCATTTCCAATACAGCTTCCTACTAATATGCCTGGGAAAGCAGCGAAGAATGGACCAAGTGCTTGGGCCCCCGCACCCATGTGGGAGACTCAGAAGAGGCTCCAGGATCCTGGCTTCAGCCTGGCACAGTCCTGGCCATTGTGGCCATTTGTGAAGCAAAACAGATGGAAGATATCTCTCTCTGTAGATTCACCTTTCAAATAAATAAATCTTAAAAAAAAAGAAAGAAAGAAAGAAAGAAGTTATCAAGTTCCTTGACATAACACTTACTGAATAGTACAAAAGAGTACATCTTATTCTTAAGTACTTCATATACATCAATTCATTAAATTCCACACAGTCCTTTAAGGCAGGTATCATTAAGCCAACAATACAGAAGAATCAAAGCCTAGTAACTGCCATTAAATGGTAAAGTCAGAATTCAAAACCAACATTATCTTGGCTTTATTTCAATAAGAAATTATAAAAAATAAATAAATAAAAGGAAGCAGGGGCAGGCGCTGCGGCTCAATAGGCTAATCCTCCGCCTGCGGCGCCAGCACCCCAGGTTCTAGTCCCGGTCGGGACGCCAGATTCTGTCCCAGTTGCCCTTCTTCCAGTCCAGCTCTCTGCGATGGCCCGGGAGTGCATTGGAGGATGGCCCAAATCCTTGGGCCCTGCACCTGCATGGGAGACCAGGAGAAGCACCTGGCTCCTGACTTCGGATCAGCGCAATGCGCCAGCTGCGACCATTGGAGGGTGAACCAATGGCAAAGGAAGACCTTTGTCTCTGTCTCTCACTGTCCACTCTGCCTGTCAAAAACAAAAACAAAACAAACAAACAAAAACACAAAAACAGGAAGCAGGCCTTGCAAGAACTGTACCATGCCAAAATCAAACCCTGAGAACAAACTGCAGCTTTAATGTGCTCCTAACAAGATCAAAATCAGGGTTTGGCTAGAAGCATTAACACTAGAACCACAAAAAAAGGATTCACCAAATACTTCATGATGTATGCACTTTGATGAAACACTGCAGACACATTACAAATGAGGCAACTGGGGCTGGCATTGTCGTACAGCAGTCTGAGCTGCAGCTTGAGATGCCAGCACCCCATATGGTGTGAATTCCAGTCCAGGCCGCGTCACCTCCAATTCAACTCCATGCTAATGTGCCTGTGAAGGCAGCAAAAGATGACCTAAATACTTGGGCCCCTGACACACAGGGAACCTGGAAGGAGTTCTGGCTTCTGGATGTGACCTTCCCCAGCTACTGTGGTCACTCAGGGAAAGAACCAGCAGACGGAGGAGCTCTCTTTCTCTGAATGTTTCTGTTGCTCTGCTTTTTAAATACACAAAACTTCAAAAAAAAATTTTTTGAAGCAACTTAAGAGCATGTAATAATAAGGTATGAATTTAGTGGATGAAAACTGCAAAGTATTACTGTGTTAGTTGCTAATATAGTATCTGAAAATTCTGAATGAAAACTACAAGCTAAAACAGTGAAATGTTCCATACAGATTTCCTAGGCTCTGTGCCACTGGCTAGTGAGCCTTAAACTATCACGTAAAGGAAATCTAAACTCTACTGAGAAAACAGGGAACAAAATGCCTTTGAAACATTAAATACAAGGATACACCAAAGGAGCCTACGTTGCAGCAGAGCAGGTTAGGCAGCTGTCTGCAAAGCTGGCATCTCATGGGTGTTGGTGCATGTCTGGCTGCTCTGCTTCTAATCCAGCTCCCTGCTAATGGCCTGGGAAAAGCAGCAGATAATGGCCAAAGTGTCTGGGCCCCTGACACCCAAGTGGAAGATCCAGATGAAGCTACCGACTCCTGGTTTTGGCCTGCTTCAGCCCTGGCTGTCACAGCTATCAGGGGAGCAAACCAGCAGATTCCTGTCTCCTTCTTTCTGTAAGTATGGCATTCAAACAAATAAATCTTTAAAAACACACACACACACACACTTCAAAAAGTTCATGGAAAATGGAATTAATGGTGTAAAACAATTTTGAAATCCACGCATATAAGGGGGTCTTTTAAAAATTCAAGAAAAAAATGCATATTATGAAAAAAACCATGCAAGGATTTCAAACTTTTCTGAAGTTAAATTAATTTAAAAAAATTTTTTGCCGGCGCCGCGGCTCACTAGGCTAATCCTCCGCCTAGCGGCGCCGGCACACCGGGTTCTAGTCCCGGTCGGGGCGCCGGATTCTGTCCCGGTTGCCCCTCTTCCAGGCCAGCCCTCTGCTGTGGCCAGGGAGTGCAGTGGAGGATGGCCCAGGTGCTTGGGCCCTGCACCCCATGGGAGACCAGGAAAAGCACCTGGCTCCTGGCTCCTGCCATCGGATCAGCGCGGTGCGCCGGCCGCAGCGCGTCAGCCGCGGCGGCCATTGGAGGGTGAACAAACGGCCAAAGGAAGACCTTTCTCTCTGTCTCTCTCTCTCTCACTGTCCACTCTGCCTGTCACAAAAAAATCAAAAAACCAATAAAAAAATTTTTTATCCAGGGGGCCGGCAACGTGGTGTAACAGATAATTCCACTGCCTGCAGTGCTGGCATCCCATATGGGCGCCGGGTCTAGTCCCAGTTGCTCCATTTCCAATCCAGATTTCTGCTACGGCCTGGGAAAGCAGAAGATGGCCCAAGTCCTAGGGGCCCTGGAACCCACACAGGAGACCCAGGAAAAGCTCCTGGCTCGTGGCTTTGGAATGGCCCAGCTCCAGTCGTTGCAGCCATTTGGGGAGTAAGTAAACCAGTGGATGGAAGACCTCTCTCTCTCTCTCTGCCTTTCAAATAAATAAATCTTTTTTAAATTGTTATATCCAGTTATGACAAGGGGCAGAGACAGAGAGTACATATACTCCCCCATCCACTGGCCCTGAATTACCCTCCAAATGACCTCCAAGAGTTTGGGAACTGGGAACACCTCACTGGAAACCATAACTGTTGCTTCCCAGGGTCTGCACCAGCAGGAAGCTGGAATCAGGAGCAGGAGCCAAGAGTTGAACCCAGGCACTCTCATGTTGGATGGGGCACCCTAACCGGTTTCCTAATAGGCCAAATGCCTAAGTCCATTTCTCATGAACTATTTATTTACTCATCAGAGGAAAGCCAGAAACTGCTATGTCAGTGCTTCCCTCCAAACTCAAGAACTCTAATCTTACCTCCAGTCCATGCCTTAAAACTCTCAGAGATGACCGGGGTCCCCTACCACAGGCCACATACAGCTGAGGGGTATCTTCATTGGCCAAATCAGCTATCTGCACAGAGAACAAAGGGGAAAATGTGGCTAAGTTTTCAAACCCAACTGATTCTCAGGACAAATGACTTTTGAGCTTACCAATCTCTTATTGGATCCTTGCCCTGGGATATGAAGAAGAAAAGCTCAAATACTCCCAACAGTAAACAATTTGAAGAGCAAATTTTTCCACTAAAAAAGGAAATGGCATTAAAGGAACTGTCATATTTAGTAAAACAAAATACTATATACCCTCCAAGTAAAATTCAGCACTTCCTTTCTTACTTATCAGAATCACAATTCTGTCATTCACAAAAATTGTATTTACTCACGTAACATTAAAGCTTGCAGATACTCAAGCTTGCAGATACTCAAACTAGCATTTACCCTCATCACTACTGCAAAATTCTATTTATCAGATGTGTTTGTTGTCAGAATGCACAGGATCCTATGTGCTCTTCTGATGTTGCTGTCCAGTTTTTGGTTAACTTTGCACCTAGCTAATCAACCTCTAAATGAGAAAGCCATATTTTCTTGTCGGTATCCTACACATCTAGCTCTTTCCAGTATAGTATTTATTGACCAATAGGTGACAGGAGGTGTGTCATTTGTATTAGTTTTGACAAACTGAGCAATTTAATGAAAATTCCTCTACGGACTAGATAGAGCCTACTTTAACACAGTAAGTATACGGGTTCACACTGATCTCTCCAAAAACAAAAAAGGTTAACTCAACTATTTTAAATGCACCATCTTGCTACTTATGAAGGTACATAATTTTTCACAATCAAAAATATTCTGCTGGCCCAGTTATTCTATATTGTCATATGCACTTAAAAACACTGAGAGAGGCCGGCGCTGCGGCTCAATAGGCTAATCCTCCACCTAGCGGTGCCGGCACACCGGGTTCTAGTCCCGGTTGAGGCGCCGGATTCTGTCCCGGTTGCCCCTCTTCCAGGCCAGCTCTCTGCTGTAGTCAGGGAGTGCAGTGGAGGATGGCCCAAGTGCTTGGGCCCTGCACCCCATGGGAGACCAGGAGAAGCACCTGGCTCCTGCCTTTGGATCAGCGCAGTGCACCGGCCACGGCGGCCACTGGAGGGTGAACCAAGGGCAAAAGGAAGATCTTTCTCTCTTTCTCTCTCACTGTCCACTCTGCCTGTCAAAAAAAAAACAAAACAAAACAAAAACAAAAAACAAAAAAACACTGAGAGAGCATTCAGATGCCTCAGGCTAATAGAAGAAGAGATCCTGTAACAAAAACATGTCAAGGAGCCTGGCCATAAAAAATCTTGTTAACTTCCAGCTAAACTTATTTTTGATCTACAAGCTATTTTACACAATTATTTCTTCAAATTCCAAGGAAGTAGAATAAGAAAAAACACACTAAGTCAAATTAGGAATTACTCATACTTATACTTATTTCCTGTTGTACTCAGAACTAACCGTCTCTTCTCAAAATTCTAAGGGAAGTAGAGTGCCTGAGCTCTACCTTGTTTCCCCAGTACACAGGGCATACCACTCTTTCATTAGAAGCACGATTAACTAGATTGGTGAATCCCAAATGGTTATTACTCAAATCCCAGCCATCCAGGGAGAATGGTAAGGTAAATTTCCTGGCTGCTACAACTGAGCACCAGTAGTTCGGGGGACACAATGTTGATACTAGGTCACTTCAGGTTCCTCCTTCAGGACGCATTTAAAAACTTTTTTGCTGATAAACTCCAATGTTTCTGCTGTATCTTTAAGAAATGTGTTGAAATGAGACGAGTATGGTTATTCATAGAGTGCCAAATAATAGAAGATCAAGTTCAGACTACTATATGAACCAACTTACTATAAAAAGAAAAAGAGCAGATACCATATACAAGTGTATCTATGAATTGCAGAAGCAGAGAAAATGCTCAGAAGCAATCATAAGAAGCAATGGCTTCAGCAGAGGTGAGGGTTAAACGACTGGGAGCAGACCTTTCACTTTTCACCTTTATGGCTAGAATGTTTACATTCAATGGCTTGGGGTTTTACAATTAAAGAGCTGTGGCACAGGTTAAGCCTCCACCTAAAGTGCCAGCTTCCCATAGGGGAGCTGGTTTGAATCCTGGCTGCACCACTTCTGATCCAGCTCCCTGCTAATGCACTTGGGAAAGTAGCTGAAGATGATCCAAATCCTTGGGCCCCTGGAATCATGTGGGAGACCCAGAAGAAGCTTCTAGCTTTGGCTTAGTCCAGCCCCGGCCATTACAGCCATTTGGGGAATGAACCAACAGATGGAAGATCTCGCTCTCATTCACTCCCCTTCTCTTTCTGCATTTCTGCCTTTCAAATTAAAAAAAAAAATCTTTAAAAAAAAAAAAAACAAAACAAAAAAGGGACTTACTAATGGTTTTTCATTCCCAAACTTCTACTTCTAATTGCTTCCCCTTTACACAATGGTGATTCCACAGAAAAGCTAATAAATCTATTTCTTATGCTAGATCTTAAATGCACTGGAGGAAAACCTTAAGCTCATTAAATTTTTGACTCAAAAGCATTCGGCTGGCAATGCTAATTGTGAAAGTGACTAGAAGGGTCCACACCTGGCAAAACAGAATGGGAGAGAGGCTATCCAACTCATCAACCAGCACAAGGTTTTTGAGTGGTCTTGGCTGAAAAAAGAAGGTGTCTCCTTCTTCCAGAGGCATAGCAGAAGAAAACTCAGGTTCTTCATCATCATCTCCAAGATGTGCAATTTGATATAAGTAACTGAGGAGAAGCAGAGAGAGACTATTGTTAAAACATACTGTGAAGATAATGTATGACCACAACATAATGCTGGTGCTATTTGGTGATAAATATATAAAGATTTATTTATTTACTTGAAAGTCAGTTACACAGAGAGAGGAGAAGCAGAGGCAGAGGCAGAGAGAGAGGGAGGGAGGAGAGGGAGACAGAGAGGTCTTTCATCCACTGGTTCACTCCCCAGATGACCGCAATAGCTGGAGCTGTGCCAATGCAAAGCAAGGAGCCAGGAGCTAGAAGTTTTTTCCAGGTCTCCCACGTGGGTGCAGGGGCCCAAGCTCGTAGGCCATATTCTACTGCTTTCCCAGGCCATAGCAAAGAGCTGGATCAGAAGTGGAGCAGCTGGGACTCGAACCGGTGGCCATATGGGATGCTGGCAATGCAAGTGGCAACTTTACCCACCACACCACCGACCTGGCCTCAGCTATTTGATTATGTTAAGAAATAGCTATTACGGGCTGACGTTGTGGTGCAACAGATTAAACAGCCACTTGCAATGCCAGCATCCCATTTGAGCACTGGATCAATCTGTGCTGCTAATGCACCTGGGAAAGCTTATGGGGCCCTACCACTCATGTGGGAGAACTGGATGAGTCTAGGCTCCTGGTGTAGGCCTAGCCCAGGACTAGCTCCAGCCACTGTGGCCATCTGGAGAATGAACCAGCAGAGAGAAGATTCCTACTCTGCATCTCCCTCTCTTTTTACAATTCTTTCAGATAAATGAATAATCTTCAAAAAAGAAATCAGTTGTTTTATGAATTGATAATTGAGATTTGTTTCAAAACAATTCAAGGATGTTTGGGAAATGTGATACAAGTAAAACAAGGCTGATCATGGATTATGCATTACTGAAGATAGATGACAGGCATATATACAGATTTATTATTCCTGCCTCTCTTGTTAGAAAATTTCCAAAACAGACAAAAAGTAAAATCTTAAATGAAAAATAAGACTCAATGAGAAAATTTTGACAAATTTATCTGACGATACATATATAAAATTTTGACAGTATGCTGTCATCCTCTATAAAAATTACATATAAATATTAAAATGTAAAAATACTATTACAGGGGCTGACACTGTGGTGTAGCAAGTTATGCAACCCTGTGGTGCTGGTATCATATATGGGTACCAGTTCAAGTCTCGGCTGCTCCATTTCCAATTCAGCACCCTGCTGAAGTGCCTGGGAAAGCACTGGAATATGGCCCAGGTCCGTGGGCCCCTGCACCCATGTGGGAGAGCCAGAAGGGGCTCCTAGCTTCAGACTGGCCCAGCTACAGCTGTTGCTGCCATTTGGGGTAGTAAACTGAAGCAGACTGAAGATGTCTCTCCCTCCCTCTCTTTCAAATAAATAAATAAATCTGGAAAAAAAAAAAAAAAAAAAGCACATACAGCAAAATGACAAGGTGATTAACCTGGGAGATTAGGATTATGAGTAATTTGCTCTTTTATCCATTTTCTAAAAATTACTACATTACCAGAATTCTTAAAAATAAGAATTTCTACAATACCAGTATTTACTAAATGCTCATAGTACTAAAGTGCTTAGTGTGTGGCATATGTAATCTTATTAAATACCCACAAAGCCCAATAAGGTGAACACTATTACTAAACCTACATGATAAATAAGAAGCCTGAGGAATACTTCTGGAAAACAATCAAGATTCTCATGTGCACTGGTATAAATACGACAGCATACTGCCTGGCTTATCATCTAAACTGCCACCCCACAATACTGCCATTATGAAAAGGAACATAGAAAATTGTGTTGTATTAGCACAGGCTAAGCTTAGCCTAGCAGTTAAGACAACCATGTCTCATGTGCAAATACTTGGGTTTGACACCTCACTCGGGCCCAACTCTGGCTTCCTACAAATGCAGATCCCAGAAGGCAACTGCAATAGCTCAAGTAGCTGGGTTCCTGCCATCAACATGGGAGACCTAAATTGTGTTTCAGCTCCTGATTACATCCCCCACATCCCCTCAGCCTTTAAGGAGTAAAAATCAACACTTAGGAGCTATCACTCTCTCTACGTCTCAAATAAAAATGCTAGGGCCAGCACTATGGTATAGCAAGTTAAGCTGTGATACTGACATACCATATGATGAGAGCCATCTGGAGTCCCAGCCAATAAACTGAGGTGGCTTCCTGTTAATGCACTGAGAAGCAGCCACAAATGGCCCAAGTGTTTGGGCCCCTGCACTCAGAAGCTCCTGGCCCATGACCTTGGACTGGCCCAGTTCCAGTGGTCATTGCAGCCATTTGTTGGGGGTGAACCAGAGGATGGAAGATCTCTCTGTAAATCTGCCTTTCAAATAAAGTAAGTCAATCTTTAAAAAAAAAAAAAAAAAAAACTGTGTGAAAAGTGTAACCAGGTATTAACCAGGAAATGGAAAAACAAAATGAACAGTAGGGACAAAGTCAATGCAAGGGATTGAAAGGCATGTTTGAAAGTAAGAGAACTGAAGACAAGGCACAAAAGGCACAGAATCCCAGACAACATCTTCATTAAATCATGAGGAAACTGAGCATCAGATCACCAAGTAAGTTCACATATACTTCAGCAGACACTGTCAAGCTATCATGTTATCACATATAAAGAACCTGAAGTCTCTGAATTCAAATTGAAGCTGGAATTCAGATTTCCATTTGGCAATCAAGCCATTAAAAATTTTAACACAGGTATAGGAAAAATCATTTCATCAGTGATGTCTCATACATTTGATAAAGGCTGACTACAAGACAAAGAAATGACCCAGTCTGCATTAGCATCACAAAAAAGGAATACTGAAATAAAAAAACAGAATCTGGTTCAAACTGGTAGGATATCAAAAAAAGGGGGGAAGATTTTTACAATTCAGTTGCTAGAATAGGCTCATCCTTAACAATTAACAGATATACTGAATTTGGGAGGGTTGGTGATGTGGGTTGGGCAGCTGTGGGTACTAAGAGCTTCTAACTGTACAAATACATGCGTGCTAGTTAATAAGAAGCACTCAATAAATATTTATTCAATGAAATGTACAGCCAAAAGCACTGTTAAAGATAATTGTGCAGATACAGAAGAACTGATAGAAACTACTGAAGGAAGACAACAGAACAGAGTTAAGGTGGATAAGAAGGCAAAACTTGTGGGGGAAAAAAAAATATTCCTGTGAAAAGCTCCCCAGCCTGCCTGCTAACCTTTACAATAACCAGGATAAATTAGGATAACAAAGGAATTACTTACTGGTTTCCAAATTCTGATGCTACAAAAAGGAAGCCTGTTTTAAGCACACACATGGCCGCAGCAACAGGCACAGTATCAAAATACTTGAGCCGTATCTCAGTTACCTGGAATGAAAACATTTAGGCAAATAAAGCACACTACAGAGGGAAGCCCAGTATTATGACATCACAGACCAAGAAGCAAGTAACATACTGTACTCAGTATCTAACTAAGGGCCAAGCAATCTACAAGCCATAGGTTAGCCATGCTTATGTGTAATTTACTGTCCACGGATGCTTTTGAACTATAAAGGTATAGGTGAATAGGTAAGATACAGACCACAACACAAAACCAGCAAATATTTACTAGCTGGCCTTTGTTGTTGGTTTTTTTTCCCTTTTTTAAATGAAATAAAACATACAGCTAGTTTGAAGAGTAGCTGACAGTAAATCAGTTTTTGTTTTTAATTTTTCAAATGCTGTTTGTATATCCTCTGTATTTCTCTCCCATTTTTCACTGTCAAGGACTAAGGTATAGACAAAGGGATTTGTAAGTTACATATAGGTATTAATACTAAAAGTATACAAATACTCATACACTTTGAAAAAATAATCTCATTCCAAGAAAATATAGAACAGATCCAACATGGCTGAATAAGGTATAGCAACAATAACACGTTACGGCCACTTGGGGAATGAACCCGGGAAAGGGCGGACCTTTCTCTCTGTCTCTCCCTCTCACTATCTGTAACTCTACCTCTCAAATAAAGAAAATCTTTAAAGAAAGTTCATATGGAAATCACAAAAGGCCACAAATAGTTGGAGTGATCTGGAACAAGAAAACCCAACCTGGATGAATCATAATACTCGATTTCAAAGCGTCCTACAAAGTTACAGTAGTTAAAACAGCTTAGTAATGGCATAAAATCCAACGTGTAGCTCAATGGAACAGAAGAGAGAGCCCAGAATTTAATCCACATAGATAGCCAGTTGACTACTGACAAAAGTGCTCAGACCACACAGTGGAGTTAAGGATAATATTCTCAAAATGGCGCTGGCAAAACTGGATGCATATACAAAGAAGAACGAAAAGTAGATCCGTATCTCTCTTCACATACAAAAATCAACTGAAGATACATCAAGGACCCAATTTAAGACCTGACATTATGGACATTATGAGGTTGCTGGAAGAAAACGTAGGGGAAACACTCAAAGACATTGGTGAAGGAACAACTTCTTGGATGGGAACTAGCTGGCCTTTGTTTAAAAAGCTTGCTAATTCATGCGCCCCGACCGGGACTAGAACCTGGTGTGCCGGCGCCGCTAGGCGGAGGATTAGCCTAGTGAGCCGCGGCGCCGGCCCAGATGCTCTACTTTCAATCCAGCTCCCTGCCAATGCCCATGAACAGCAGTGGAAAATGACCTAAGTGCTCAGGCCAGATCTCAGGGAGATCTGGAAGAAGCTCCTGGCTCCTTTGGCATGATCCAGCCCTGGCTGTTGTAACCATTTGGGGAGTGAACCAGCAGATGGAAAATCGCATTCTGTCTCTCTGATTGATTCTCCCTCTCTCTCTGTATCTCTTTCAAATACTAAATAAATCTTTAAAAATAAAAGCTTGCTAATCCATGATTTAAGCAGCAAACAAATTGCCCAATTGTTTATAGAGCTCCTCTATATGATGAAAGAAGGAATATGCCATGTGTATTATCAGTTTTCACCAGACTTGGGAGGCTCTTATTTATACCAATTATTACCACTTGAAAATAATCACTGGGGGGCCAGTGTTGTCATGCAGCAGGTTAAGAAGCTGCCCAGGATGACCACATCCCATAAAGCTACACCCACTTCCAATTCAGCTCCCCGCTAATGTGCCCAAGAAGGCAGCAAAAGATGGCTCAAATGCTTGGTCATTGCAACCCTAGACTGAGTTCTAGGCTGCTGGCTTTGGCTTAGACAAGCCCTGGTTGTTGCAGGCATTTGGCGAGTGAACCAGTGAATGGAATTTCTCTGTTGGCTCTGTGTTCCAAATAAGTAAATACATGGATTTTTCACAAAAAAAAAAAGTAGCATTACCCAGTCTTGTTATCATTACATAAGAGTACCAGACAAGAGGTCCATTAAACAGAGAGGAAAACCTATATCGATATATCAATCCCAAAGACAACCACTTTCTAAAGCACTGTAATTTCTGTATTTTTACCTTGTATTTAATTGTTCTATCTCATCTCTGAAAGTAGTATTAACGAAAAAGTTGGTTTGTAAAACAGCTTTGTAAATCTTAAATGCATATACATTTTTTTTTCTTTTTTATCTGAATGAGCAACAGATAACGTCCCATCCACCAGTTTGCTCTCCACATAGCTATAACAGTCCGGACTGGGTTAGGCCAAAGCCAGGAGCCAGGAACTCAGTTTGGGTCACCCACAGGTGGATGGCAAGGGTCCAAGTAGTTGAGCCATCACCTGCTGCCTCCCAGAGCACACAAAGCAGGAAGCTGGATCATAAGCAGAAGCAGGATTTGAAGGCATCCCAAGTAGCGGCTGAACCTGCTGTGCCAAAATACTCAACTCACAGAGTTGTTTTCTTGTTCACAAGTTGTGCAACCTCAGTCAGTGCTCATAGCCTACAGGTAACAAAGCCAGGCAATGGTTTAAAGCTGCTGTTTACTCTGGCATGGGTACACTATGAAAGGCCCACTGAGAAGAGCCCACCATAAATCCATTACCATGCTCCATATACATTTCTTTTTTTCTATTTATTTACTGGAAAGGCAGAATTGCAGAGACAGAGAAAGAGAGAGGTCTTCCATCCGCTGGTTCACTCTCCAGATGATGGCAATGGCCAGAGCTAGGCCGATCCAAAGCCAGGAGCCGGGAGCTTCTTCTGGGTCTTCCAATAGGTACAGGGGCCCAAATACTTGGGCCAAATCCACTGCTCTCCCAGGCCATAGCAACTAGTTGGATTGGAAGTGGAGCAGCTGGGACTTGAACCTATGCCCACCTAGGATGCAGGCACTATAGGCGGTGGCTTTACCCACTAAGCCACAGCCCCTTCATATACATTTCTAAACCATGATAGTGAGAACCCAGCATGGTAGCACAACAGGCCACTGCCTCTACCACTGATGTTCCACTCAAGAACACCAGTTCAGTTCCAACTACTGCACTTCCAATCTAGCTCCCTGCTAACGTGCCTGGGAACCAGTGGGTGACGGCTCAAGTATCTGAGTTCCTGCCACACACACAGGAGATACAGATGCAGTTCCTGCCTACTGGCTTCAGCCAAACCCAGTTCTGACTTTTGTAGCCATTTGAGGAGTAAACCAGAGGACGGATGATATCTCCTTCTCTTTTCCTGATGTTCTGCCTTTCAAATAAATCAATCTTAAATAAGGTCATGAAAATTAAAAATGGAAAAATTTAAGCACAACACACACCCTGCACTGTTCCCCACTTTATCTATGGTCTACTCACCATATCTTCATCTGTTTCCAAAGTGATCTTGAAGATATCACCCTGCTCAGTTTGGGCCAAAAAGAAGAACATCGATTTGGTCTTATGGGTGGCAGAGCAGACAAAAATCATTCCTCTTTCAGGGTCATCCAGGTCATTCTAGGAAAGTTAAATTGTAGACAATCAACATCTTAGAAGGATTACTTTCCTATTTCTGATATGCAGCACCTTACCAATAGGGAATACAAAGGACACCCAAAGCCCAGAGTCTAGATCAAAGCAATAAAACGATGGCTAAAAATTCTTACCTGCTATAACATAACAAATTCTGGGTAACCAAATCAGAGTCACAATTCTATTCTACAGCCTGATCAGACCAGTGAGGCAGAAACTATCTCCAGAGGAAAATGTCAGAGAAGAGACATGAAATTTAAATTGTCATCATTTCAGGCTATGAATAAAACACTCAACATGTCACCTTACCATCCAAGCTCCACATCCACTTCCTTGATTCCAAAATGCACCCCTTTAGACATGATATTGAATTAAAGAAAAGTTTCTAATACTTTTTATTTCTCTGAGTTAGCCCTTCATGAAGTCTGACCTGTTGCAAAGCCAAGTACCAGCTATAGTTAGGTGTACAATAAATTGTCCAACTAATTTATCAAGAATTTAACTTTCCAAATTTCTTTTCAAGTTTTCTACAACTGATACAATTTTATTCAAATACCGTATACTAAATCACCTAAAGAAGTCCTAAAAGGTTTAATCCCAGGACCAATATTAAAAAGCAGCCAACTCATAGTAGGAGGAGAGATTTTATTAATTGATTCAGGGGGAAAAGTCAATACCAAAACCTCTGGGTGAAAAAATGTTAGGGAAAAGGAGGTTTATAAGTCTCAAAGGTCACAGATGAAGCTCTGGCTCCCAGCCTCAGCCTAGCTCAGCCCTAACCCATGTGGACACATCAAGAATGAACCAAAGGATGGAAGATTCTCTCTCTCCCTCTAACTCTACCTTTCAAATAAATCAGTGAAATTTTTGGAGCCCTGAGGAGAGTTATAGATGGAGGTTTGTTTATCTCTTGCCATACAAAATGATTCCTTGGTTATGACTCTAAAATGCAAGGAGTTTAATGCAGAAGTGTATCAGGGAGGCCGCCTGCAGTGCTGGCATCCCATATGGGCGCCAATTCGAGACCCGGCCACTCCACTTCCAATCCAGCTCTCTGCTATGGCCTGGGAAAGCAGTAGAATATGGCGTACATGCTTGGGCCCTTGCACCCACAAGGGAGACCTGGAAGAAGCTCCTGGTTCCGGATTGGTGCAGCTCCAGATGTTGCTGCCAATTGAAAGGCGATGGAAGACCCTCCCGGCTCTGTCTCTGCCTTCGCCTCTCTGTAACTCTGCTTTTCAAATAAATAAGTAAATCTCTAAAAAAGTACACATGGGTCAAAACACTGCAGATTGTATATGTTACCTAATGGAAGAGATAAAAACATTTACAAAAACAATCCTCTTGGGGCCAGCACTGTAGCACAGCAGATTAAGCCACTGTCTGCTCCACTTCTGATCCAGCTTCTTGCAATGTGCCTGGGAAAGCAGCAGAGGATGGTACAAGAGCTTGGCCACAGCAGGTTAAAGCCCTGGCCCGATGGGGCCGGCGCCATGGCTCACTTGGTTAATCCTCCGCCTGCAGCACCAGCATCCCATATGGGCGCTGGGTTCTAGTCCCAGTTGCTCCTCTTCCAGTCCAGCTCTCTGCTGTGGCCCGGGAGGGCAGTGGAGGATGGCCCAAGTGCTTGGGCACTGCACCTGCATGGGAGACCAGGAGGAAGCACCTGGCTCCTGGCTTCGGATCAGCGCGGCACGCCAGCCGCGGCGGCCATTGGAGGGTGAACCAATGGCAAAGGAAGACCTTTTTCTCTGTCTCTCTCGCACTAACTCTGCCTGTCAAAAAAGAAAAAAAAGCCCTGGACCAAAGCACTGGTATCCCGTATGGGCACTAGTTCTAGTCCCAGCTGCTCCTCTTCCCATCCAGCTCTCTGCTATGGCCTGGAAAAGCAGTAGAAGATGGGCCAAATCCTTGGGTCCCTGCACACACGTGGGAGACCCTCAAAAAGCTCCTGGCTTCAGACTAGTGTAGCTTCAGCTGTTGCAGCCATTTGGAGAGTGAACCAGAGGATGGAAGACCTCTATCTATGCCTCTGCCTCTCTGTAACTCTGCTTTCAAATACATAATAAATTTTTTAAAAAATGATATTATCAAGGTTGTACATCATTTAAAAAAAATACATTATGAGAAAGGTAAAAGTAGCATACTACTAACTGGTGAACCTAAGTGAAGGGGGGGGGGGTTCACTATCCTATTGCTTTGAAATTTTAAATTGGAATTTTTCAAAATAAAATGCTAGAAAAATAAGCAAAAAAAAAAAAAAAGACAAATATATCATAAATAACAATCTCCAACAACTTTGCCTGGTTTCTCCAAACTAGAAGCCTTTAGGAATCTCAAGTATAGCTGTCCATAGCTCCTCTGAAAAGAAAACTGCTGCTTTTTAATGCCTTTTCTCAGTCTTTTGCTTTTACTAAGATATGTACCAGCTTTATTAAAAGTAACATTTACAACCACTTGGGACACCCACATTCCTTAACAGAGTGCATGTTTGAGTCCTACCTACCAACAACTGCCAGCTGACATGTGTGGAGAGTGGCTTACTTAAGTCCTTAGATTTCTGCCACCTTTGTGGGGACACCAGAATAGACATCCTGTCTGCTGGTTTTGACCAGGCCCAGTATTGGCTATTGTGGGCATATGGGACGTGAACCAGCCGATGGATGATCTCTCTCCCAGTCACTCTGCCTTTCAAATCAGTAAATAAAATAGAAACACACACATACAAAGAAACTAAAACTTGATTAACAGATTACATTGTAATCACAAAAACAAAATCCATTTCACAAACACAAACACCTCTCCTCTATGGAAAACAAAAACCTTACCCGTCTCCTAGGAATTGGACATCGGATATCAGGCTGATCACCAAAGTTCTTGTAGGTGATATAGTTTTCAGAGCAAATCAGTACTCCACTTGGACCATCTGACCCTCCTGGAACTGTGGAAAAAAAGAAAAAACTTTACCAGTGGTGACTTGACATAACAATAAATGACTTTTTTTTTTTTTTACAGGTAGAGTTAGTGAGAGAGAGACAAAGAGAAAGGTCTTCCTTCCATTGGCTCACTCCCCTAATGGCTGCTAAGGCTGGCGCGCCGATCCAAAGCCAGGAGCCAGGTGCTTCTTCCCGGTTTCCCAAGCAGGTGGCATGGCCCAAGCACTTGGGCCATCCTCCACTGCCATCCCGGGCCATAGCAGAGAGCTGGACTGGAAGAGGGGCAACCGGGTCTAGTACCCGGCTCCCCAACCAGGACTAGAACCCGGGTGCCGGCAGCGTAGGCGGAGGATTAGCCAAATGAGCCATGGTGCAGGCCAAATGATTGGCTTTCAACTCCTGTCCAGCACAACTTTTTCTTAAAGATTTATATATTTATTTTCAAAGAGTTACAGAGACGGAGAAACAGGGAAAGGCCTTCCAACTACTAGCTTACTGCCCAGATGTCTACAGCTGGGCCAGACCAAAGCCAGGAGCCAGGAGCTTCATCCAGGTCTCCTGTATGAGCCTGTTGCCTTCACAGGTGTTATTAGCAAGGAACTGGATCTGAAGTAGAGCAGCCAGGACTCAAAGGGGCACCCATATGGGATGCCGGCATCACAGGCGATGGCTTAACCCACCACACCACAACACCAACCTCAAGTCCAGCACAACCCGATGAAGGTAGTGTGCCTAAAGCTGAGAAACATTCCAAGTGTTTCTTCTCCCTGGTGTCCACGTTACATAAGAATGAACACTAAATTTATATAGAAAATTTGGCTAACTTCAGACTGAATGTATCTAGCCCCAAAACTCAGTTCTCAACTTAAGACCTAATAAACAATCTTCTCCTGGACATATCACAAATACTTCTAAAATACAGGGTAATCATAAACAAATTCAAGTTCCTTGACAAACCTATTCCACATCCCAGGCTTTTTACCTGGAAGAATACTACCACAGATCAATAGACTAAACCAGAAACCTGGGTGTCATCCTTCAATTCTGTTTCTATTCCATAGCCTGATTATTTTACCTCCTTAGCAGCTCTCATACTGTCAGCAATTCTTGGTTTAGCAATTCTTGGTTTAGTGAGTTTCCTGACCAGTCTCAGGCTTCTGTCTTAATTTCCACCATCCCATTACCAAAATATAAGCAAGGGTTAACTTTATTCCCCTCTTTAAACTCCTTTAGTAGCTACCACCCCACCACTATTGCTATTTCAGCCCTCTAATTCTAATAATTCAATGAGCCTCCAATTCTTTGAATGATCTATCTTCATTATTTATTTGGTCCTTTGTGCATACTACAAGAGAAAACATCCCTCTCCCAATCCCCCTGAACCCAGCTAACCCTCATCAATCCTTGGGTCTTATCTTACAAGAGTACTTCTTCAGAGAACTTTCTCTAAAAGAATCACTTCCTTTCCCTAGCTGAGTTTCCTTCCTTCCTTTCTTCCTTCCTCCCTCCCTCCCTCCTTCCCTCCCTAATCTCCCTCTCACCCACCCACCCACCCACCTATTCACCTATCTTCCTAATTTCAGTACTGGGTGGGATCTCTGCTAAATTTTTAGTTATTTGTCTGTATTTACCACTAGACTCAATCTTTCAGAGGGAGGTACCATATCTAATTTTCCTCTACTACAATCGCTGGATCCAGTAGACTGACAGCACACACTGACTGTAAACAGACATATATTGACTGTAAACAACCAGTTTGTTAAAATTGTTAACCAATTTGTTAAAGAGGAAAGCCTCTACACATGAAAGCTACAGTAATATATTATAGCAAGTAACAAAATGAGTAATTCATTTTAATATTCATTTGCTCTATGTATTAATGAATAACATCTGTGATTCAATATGGAGACAAGTGCTATATTATTTCTCATCAAAATCTTCCCCAAGAAGGCATATTTGGTTTTACTTATCAAGTTGAACTATTTCAAAACAGAATTCTATCACTCTTCTCAAAGCCTGCAGAAATATAGATGACCACAGACATAACTGTTCTGCACTACAGTATCATGAAAAAAATATTTTCTTTTTATTCATTTATTTGAAATGCAGAGACATGGAAGGAGACTGAGACAACACAGATCTCCCATCCACTGTTCCACTCCCCGAAAGTCTGCAACAGCAAGGGTTGAACCAGAATTCAATTCAGGTCTCCTACAAGGGTGGAAAGGTCCCAAGTACTCGAGCTATCTATCACCTGCCTCCTAGGTATTTACCAGTTAAAAGTTGGAATCAGGAGAGATTCACACTCAGGACCTCCTACATAGAATACAGGAACCCCAAAATATTTCCTAACTACTGTATCAAATGACCATCCCTATACTGATTTTCTACAGTGCCAGCATGCCATATTAGGCACCAGTTCAAGTCTCAGCTGTTCACTTCCAATTCAGCTCTTTGCTACAGCCCAGGACAGCAGTGGAACATGGCTCAAGTGTTGGGGCCCCCAAACCCACATAGGAGATACAGAAGAAACTCAGGGCTCCTGGCTTCAGCTCAGCCCAGCTCCGGGCATTGCAGGCATTTCAGGGAGTGACCAGCAGATGCAAGACCTCTCTATTTGTAACTCTGCCTTTCAAATAAATCTTTAAAAAAAAAAGATGGGGCCAGCACTAAACTAGGCTAATCCTTCGTTTGTGGCACCGACATCCCATAAAGGCACCAGTTTGTGTCCCAGCTGCTCTGCTTCTGATCCAGCTCTCTGCTATGGCCTGGGAAAGCAGTGGAAGATGGCCCAAGTGCTTGGGCCCCTGCGAAGTTATAGAGAGAGAAGGCCTCCATCCCACTCTCTAAATGGCCACAAAGGCCAGGGCTGGGCCAGGCCAAAGTCAGGAGCCAGGAGCTTCTTCCAGGTTTCCCACAATGGTGCAGGGGCCGAAACACTTTTTCTGCTTTCCCAGGTGCCTAAGCAGGGAGCTGGATGGGAAGTGGAGCAGCCGAGGCTCAAACCAGGACTCACACGGAATGCCAGTGTTGCAAGCAACAGCTTAACCTGCTCCACCACACCACAGGCCTTCTTACACTGATTTTCTAACAGTGTATCATCTCTGACCTTACAAAAGTCCTACTTTGCTATGTCACATTTAAAAATATCATACATAAGTTTATGAATTTTTCATCCATAACCCTATTTATTAACTAGCCTGTCAATTTTTACTAGTGTCTTTCCCCAAAGTCACCTTAGACCCATAAAGTACTACAGTAGCTTTTATTATTTTTATAATCCCTGGAGAAGTTTGTTTTAAAAACCAACATTTGGGGCCAGCATAGCCCCATATGTGGCGTAGTGGGTAAAGCCGACACCTGCAGTGACGGCATCCCATGTTGAGCCGGTTCAAGTCCCAGTTGCTCCACTTTTTTTTTTGACAGGCAGAGTGGACAGTGAGACAGACAGAGAGAAAGGTCTTCCTTTGCCGTTGGTTCACCCTCCAATGGCCGCCACGGCCGGCGCACTGCACTGAACCGAAGGCAGGAGCCAGGTGCTTCTGGTCTCCCATGGGATGCAGGGCCCAAGCACTTGGGCCATCCTCCACTGCACTCCGTGGCCACAGCAGAGAGCTGGCCTGGAAGAGGGGCAACCGGAACTAGAACCCGGGGTGCCAGTGCCACAAGGCGGAGGATTAGCCTAGTGAGCTGAGGCGCCGGCCTCCGGTTGCTCCACTTTTGATCCAGCTCTCTGCTATGGCCTGGGAAAGCAGTGGAAGATGGCTGAAGTCCTTGAGCCCTGCACTGGCATGGGAGACCCAGAGGAAGCTCCTGGCTTCGGATTGGCACAGGTCCTGCCGCTGCAGCCAACTGGGGAGTGAACCAGCAGATGGAAGATCCTGCTTTCTCTCTCTCTGCCTCTCCTTGTCTCTCTGTGTAACTCTCTCAAGTAGATAAATAAATCTTATAAAAAAAAAAGCAATACATATCCTTCACACACTAATAAAAACGTCCCTAACATTCCTGATCCTCCAATCTTTTGGAAAACAAATTTTTGACTAGTACTCTAAAAGGGTACAGAGCTGCTCTGAGAGAAGAGTACCTGTAATAAGGAAGTTGCCATGTTCTTCCAAAGGTTCACTGTATTTTCGGACCACATGATTTAAACCAAGGTCTAGCTCATAGAAAGTTAGTGTCTGCTGGGTATTAGCAGCTGCTTCTCCTGTTGGATCATTGTCTGCTTCCTGTACAGGAGCACAGTAGCACAAAGACTGTTCAGTATAAAAGAATTTTTAGATCTGAAACAACAGAACTCATTCATTTTTACAAACAAGGAAACAAGACGCCCATAGAAGCCAAATGGTTTGACAAAGTTCATGCTACTGTATAAAGGCAGCGCTAAAACAAATACCCCGATCTCCCATTCTGGATCCAGTAATCCCTCTACTAGAGGATACAGCCTTTCTTTCAAGGAAAAGAATGGCAAGCTCTGTCTTCCCCTGTGAAAAAATACTCCAAACACAGCTTCATCTTTTTCACACAGCTTCTCTCAATAAGCTTGTTTCTACAAGGAAACTGTTTAAATCAGAACCAAAGTTATTATATATAATCCATCAACCTGTGTGAAGCATTTCAAATAATTTCAGTAAGATTCTGAATATGTAGAAGTTCTGTCAGCAAGATAGATTTAAGATATACACAATGGAAAAAAATATCTTGGGAAAATACAGAAGTGACTGGAAGAAACCCAAAGAAGAAAAAGGAAAGTCATGGTCCCCATTACCTCATAGTCCATTTCCAGACAAGCAAACATCGGGTTTTCAAATCCCACATCTACTCCAACCACATGATATACTAAAGTGTTCGCTTTGTGGGCCTCCAAGGGAGATGAAATGGTAAGACGGGCTGCAGCATCTCTGTTCAAAATATACACCAATTTCTGTTTCTCAATAGCACCTACAGTTGGAAGAGACAAAACATACAGGATTTCCAGATAACAAGAAGAGATACTTAGATACTAGTTTCACAAGAATTTCTTGGAAAAGAAAAAAAGGGGTAAGGGGGATCATTATTCCTATGAACAGCCAGCACTAATTGAAGCATATTAACTCAAAATTCTGCTATCATTACAGCAGATAATAACTTCATTTTTGCTATATATCCCTAACTCCTCAAAAAATTTTAATTTCCTGGATTTAAGTCTACAGGAAAATTAAGCAGTAATTCATAAAATTGCCAGCTTTTCTTTTTAATTAGATCTAGTCATCTAAGCATTGCTTATAGAAGGTTGTCTTCTAGAAGCCTGATCAGATACACAGAATTTTCTTCAAGAATTTATCAGAGAAGAGACATGAATGTGAATCATCACTTCAGACTAATGAAAACAACCATATTCACCATCTAACAGTGTAAGATCATTTCACTACAGTTTTTTCACTATTAAACAACTGAAAAACATCTATTCTCATCTCAATAAGTAGTAGGAAAAGCACATTAAGCCCTTCCCCTGGGGCCAGTGCTGTGGTGAAGCTGGTTAAGCCACAGCCTACAGTGCCAGCATCCCACATGGGCACCAATTTAAGTCCAAGCTGTTCCAATTCCAATCTAACTCCCCACTACTATGCCTGGGAAAGCAGCAGAAAAAGGCCCAGGCTCCTGCACCCATGCAAAAGAGCCAGAAGAAGCTGCTGGTTCCTAGCTTCTGCCTGGTCTAGCCCCAGTCATTGCAGCCATTTGGGGAGTGAACCAGTGGATGGAAGATTTCTCTCTGTAACTCTGCCTTTCAAATAAATATGTAAATCTTACTCCCCCCACCAAAAAAAAAAAAAAAAAAAAAAAAACCAAAAAAAAAACCACTCCTCTGTTTTAAGAGGTTTTTTTTTAAAAAAACAACTTTAAATCAGAATAAATCCAAATATGATGCCAAAATTTTATCCATGTTAAGTGATGCAATGCCACAGTACCAAGATGATAGCACTGTTATCCTAAACTCAGTATTTACAACAATCAAAAATGCAGTCAACAGAGAAAGTAGAACAAGTCACTCACTAATCATAACGGCTCGCCCTTTGGGATCCACAGCTAAGAACTGGCCAGGTACGATGCGGCGGCACCCACTCTTGCCAAAGGTTTCTTGATGAATTTTCTCAAACATATTCTTAGACGGCTGGTATTCCAAGATAACAATCCGACCTGAGTCACTGCCAACTACAATGTAGTCTTTGGTACCACCTGTAAGCCTAAAGGCCATGAGCGATCGGATAACACCAAACACTTCCACAGTGAGAAGAGTGTGTACTTTGCCAGTATTGGGATCTGGACGAAGCAGCTCCAAGATCTTCCCACGGGAAACAACAATTTCCTGTTGTTTGGTTCCTAACAAAATACAAAGATCATCAACAACTAGAACTACTAAAAAATTAACCTGAATATTAAAACGCCACTAAAGAATAATAATTCTGTGACTTGGGAGGCCAATGTTCTAAATTTACTCTCTTGAAAATGTACTTTACCCGAAACTAAAATGATCTTACAAAGCTGCTATCAAACAAAGTTTTAGGGGCAGGAATTGTGGCACATCAGGGTAAGCCTTGGGTTGAAATGTCCTCATTACACATCAAAGTACCTGGCATTGAGCACTGCCTATACTTCCAAGACAGCTTCCTACCAGTGCATCCTCAGAGGCAATAGATGATGACCCTAATACCTGAGTTCCAGTTCCTAATACCTGAGTCTCCATGTGGGAGACCTGGATAGAATTCCTGGCTCGTAGTTTTAGCCTGGTCCGGCCTGGGCTGTTGTGGGCCATTCGAAAGTTAACCAGCAGGTGGCTGGCGCCACGGCTCACTAGGCTAATCTTCCACCTGCAGCACCACTACCCCGGGTTCTAGTCCCGGTTGGGGTGCCAGATTCTGTCCCGGTCACTCCTCTTCCAGTCCAGCTCTCTGCTGTGGCCTGGGAGGGCAGTGGAGGATGGCCCAAGTCCTTGGGCCCTGCACCCACATGGGAGACCAGGAAGAAGCACCTGGCTCCTGGCTTCGGACTGGCACAGCACGCCGACCACAGCAGCCATTTGGGGGGTGAACCAATGGAAAAAGGAAGACCTTTCTCTCTCTCTAACTCTGCCTTTCAAAAAAAAAAAAAAAGAAAGAAAGAAAGAAAGTTAACCAGCAGGCAAAATATATCTTTCTCTCTCTTTCTCACTCTGCCTTTCAATTAGTAAGTAAATAAGTAAGTTTTTTAAAGTTTTTAAAAAATCATCACAGGGCCAGCAACTGCAGTCCCAGCATCCCATATGGGTGCTAGTTCGTGTCCCCGCTGTTCAACTTCTCTGGCTCTTACCCTGGCTCCTAGCTTCAGACAAGCACAGCTCTGGCTGTTGTGGCCAACTGGGAGGTGAACCAGCAAATGGAAGACCTCTCTCTCTCTCTCTCTCTGCTTCTCCTTCTCTCTCTGTATATCTTTTTCAAACAAATAACTGAATCTTTTAAAAATGTATTTATATAAAAAAGAAAGATCAAATACTCCAAAGTGCTCTGTAAACTCTAAATCGTTATATATGTTGTAATGTTCACTAACAGGGAAAAAAAAAACTGGGGCTGGCAGTGTATGCAACAGGTTAAGCCGCTGCCCGTGACACCAGCATCCCATAAGCGCCAGCCAGAGTCCTGGTTGTTCCACTTTCAATCCAGTTTTCTGCCTATGGCCTAGGCAAGCAACTAAAGATAGCCCAAGGGCTTAGGCCCCTGCCACTCACATGGAAGACCCAGAAGAAGCTTCTGGCTTCAAATTGGCCAGCCCTGGCCATTGTGGCCGGCCATCTGGAGAGTGAAGAAGCAGATGGAAGATTGTTCTCTCTCTCTCTCTACCTCTTTCATATAAAAATAAATAAATTTTTAAACCAAAGAAAAAACACACAAAATCTTACAACCTGGCTTAATTTGTCCAAAAATAACCTTCACAACTTCAGTTCACTATGTATGGCACAAAATGGTGAACAAACAGCAAATGATCTGTTTATACACAAGCAGCAACACATACATAAACAGCACTATCCCGCCCCTCATTATATAAAAGTTCTATCTCCTCATGCACCAAACCAATGTTCAACTTCCTTTATTTTTTTTTTAAAGATTTATTTTCTTTATTTGAATGTCAGAGTTACAAAGAGAAGGAGAGGCAGAGAGGTCTTCCATCTGCTGGTTCACTCCCCAACTGGCCACAATGGCGGAAGCTGCGTCAATCCGAAGCCAGGAGCTTCCTCCGGGTCTTCCCACACAGGTGCAAGAGCCCAAGAACTTGGGCCAGCTTCCACTGCTTTCCCAGGCCATAGCAAAGAGCTGGATCGGAAGTGGAGCAGCCAGGAAATAAAATGGTGCCCATATAGGAATGCTGGAACTGCAAGAGGCAGATTCACCTGCTACACCACAGCGTTGGACCCTTGTCCAACTTCTTTGAAAATATACTTTACCCAGGGCCAGTGCTGTTGCTTGGTGGGTAAAGCCACCGCCTAAAGTGCTGGCATCCCGTGTGGGCACCAGTTCGAGTCTCTGCTGTGGCCTGGGAGGGCACTGGAAGACAGCCCAAGTCCTTGGGCCCTTGCACCAGCACAGGAGACCCGGAAGAAGCTCCTGGCTCCTGGCTTCAGATCAGCGCAGCTCCGGTCCTTGTAGCCAATTAGGGAGTGAACCAGTGGAAGGTGGACCTCCCTCTCTGCTTCTCCTTTCTCTGTGTAATTCTTTCAAATAAATAAATCTTTAAAAAATATATATACTTACAACCTCCCTGATAATCTGACAACACTTTTAGATATTCTTTTTATCCAAACTGATGTCAAACTCAAAATCATTGATCATATCTTCTATATCTTGTTATGCTTTATATGAAAAAGCATAACCTGGTACCAAGTAGGTAACAAACAAATGCACAGCTCTGGTAACGATCATTACACTAGAGCTAGGGAAACGCACTGCAAATTAAGTTACAGATAACGAGCCTCAATGTAACATAAAATTTTACATATTACAAGTGAAATTTCGATTGTTCACATTTAACAGGTTATCCTGTAAATTTCCTCCACCAAGAGATAAGCAAGCTATGTATTAATTCAGAACTTACCAGAGAAGTTGCCATGAATGGCAAAGCTAATGCCAGTGGCTCGTTGCAAGGTCAAGTTATACAGGAACATGGTGGTGGCAAAACTGTGCTACCCAGAACACTAGGTCTTGGTTACACCGATAGTACTAAGTTAAGCTAAGAGGACAGAAAAACAGAAAAAAAAAAATCACAGGCAAATTGTTATTTTAATAGACAATTCTACTAGGAAACTTCAGTTCTAGGCAACAAAGCAAGGCCAATCAAGGAAAAATATATTTACAATGAGAAGTGCTTTCTATGTCAGGCACCATGCAACAGACTTTGTCTAATCTTACAAAAATCCTTTAAGTACACAGCTTTCTACTCATTTTATAGATAAGGGAATTGGGGATCCAAAGTTAAATCAACTCCGAAGGTCACAAAACCAGTGAACTGCTAGGAGCTGGGACATACACCATTAAGTAACATTGTCTATTTATCATTTTGTCACCAAAACTGAGGCCTATATTTATTTTCATTTGAATGGGTTATATATACACATGGTTCCAAATTTAAAAGCAGGGCAAAAGGTTCCCTCTAACTCATTCCTGAGCTACGCAGTTCTTCCTGGAGGAATACATTTTACCAAGCTATTTGCTATCCTTTCAGGTATTTTTTTTTATAAATAAGTAACAACATACATTCACACCATGTTTTATCTTCCTTTTTAACCAAAAGTTGGGTACTGTATTTTTCACACTCACACCATAGGACAACTTTATCAACTTTGAGATAAGCAATATAAGACTTCCTCATTTTTATTTTACAGAGTAAACTAAGTAGGAATATTGTAATTCAATCAGTGCCCTGCTGATGAGCATTCTGGAGAGCACAAAGAAAATTCCTTGTATGTGGGTCATTTATACAAGGAGTCTTCAAAAAGTTAAAAGAAAATGCATATTCTGAAAACAACTGCATACACTTGACAATTTTTCGACCAACATAAATTTATCTTTTAATTCCACTTTCCCACAAACTTCATGAAGTACCCTCATTTGTGCAAGAGTATATCCCTAATATCAATTACTAGAAGTTTAACTGCTTGATTGATGGATTCACACAATTTGAAACTTTTGATGGATGCTGCCAAATTATCGTTCAAAGAGGTTCTGCTATCAATTTACATGCTCAGCAATTTATGTTTCCCCACAAAGGGCCAATTTCAAACAGACATTCAGTCTTTATTCTTCTAACAGTTGAAAACTGGTTATCTTAAAGTGCTTTCATTTGCAAATCTTACAAAGCTCTACATTAGAGAAGTGGCTAGAATTTAAAACTGAGGCCTACTGAGCATCAAAAACTGAACAAAACTCAATTCTTTTCACTCCAAGAGGCCTCTCTACTAACCTATTAAGTTACGAAAAAGGACTCCTTTTCAGCAGACAGGACTGAAATCTGCACAAAGTGAGGTGCCTCTACCTGAAGGAAATACCCCAACTATACAGTCACACTGAAAAATAAGTCCAATTATCATTCCCTAAGGTACTTATTCGAAAACAAAAGCAAACGATCTTGAGAAATCCAAAGCAACTGCTGTGCACTTAACATAAAATCTGACTGTTGTTAATTCAGAAAACTAAGTAAATGTCCTCAAAAATATTTCTAGGTTCAGCAAAAGCAAAGTGACAAGATCAATCCTCCAGGCTCGAAACAGCTATTAACAGAGAAAATTTCCCACTTGAGACTAAGGAATGCCTTTAAAAGTCTTCTAGGATCACAAAGACGGCAGAAAAGGAAGCAAGGAGACACAGGGAACCAGGAGTCACTTCTGAAATCCTGAGCAGGTCCTCCCACACTATCCTGATTTCTCGTAGCTGACTTAGAACCCAGTCTGCGTCCCCAGACCTCTGTACCAGACGCCACCCATTAACCCTAGGAATTCATGTCCTCCAATCCTGGCTGCACCCAAGCTCACCAGCCACACTTCTATCCTGGGTAAAGGAGCAAGGTGCATTGTGGAGGAAGCCATGACAAGAAGTTTCCAGAAAGTTCATGAAAAACACATTATTGAAAAACAAAAACTATACCCACGAATTCTGGAATTCTTTTTTTGCTTTAATTCCATTTTCTAAGAATTTTCTGAAGCAGCCTCGGCATACCGAGCACCATAACGGGCAGGACGCGTGGGAAGCCTGGGAACGTCCTCCACGCGCCTATCTCCTGTCTGATCCCTACAAGACGCCCCTGCGACCGCCCGCTCCGTCTCTCCGTGGTCTAAGGCAACATCGTCTCATTTAAGCTCTGCCAAGTCTTCAAGACAGATAACCCTCCCCGTTTTGCAAACGACAAAATTAGGATTCAGAGGCGGAAACAAGGGGCCCAGCCGCCTAAACACAAACTCAAACCAGTCTTGGCTGCAAAGACCGTTCCCGTTATTCGCGCTATTTTAACGCGCTGTTTCCCCGTCTTCCCGTCGTGTACCGTTTACTCTCTCCCGAGGACGACCTCCGTCTCCTCTCACCCCCACCCCCCGTTTCAGCTCAGAGGCCGCAGGACTAAAAGCAAGCTAACCTCTCATTTTGAGCCAGTACCGCTTCCCACCCAATAGCCTGGAGCGGGTGACGATTTCAAGGAGCCGTTTTCGCGACCCACGCGTTGTCTACACAAATTCGCCCCCTGCTCGGACCTCTCGGGCCTAGCCTGCCTGAGACCTGCACCAGAGTCGGGCCCCGCTCCTACGTGGCCGCTCTCCCCCTTCCCAAACCAGGGGAAGTCGCGAAGCCACTTTTTTACCCTGCAGCGGGAAGGATGGCGTAGATATCCAACGGATGCTGACTCCCTTCAAGTCTAAGCCACCGCCAACTCCAAAACGCCGGCATCCGCCATTAGCCCTCTCGATGGGGACCTTCCGATGGCGCGCGACGGAAAAAGAAACCCAATCAGCGCCTGAAAAATGTTTACATAAATAATTTTAAATGCTTCTTTCTTGCCTCCGTACAGCGTTAAAAATTATTTACGCACACTATATTGCCGTAAATTTTTCCCGGATAGTAGGAAATTAATAGTTTTTTTTAAAAGGAGACATTTAAAACTGTATGAGTTCGTCGGGCACTTCTATGGGCAGCCCCGAAGACCCGAAGCGCCAACGGGGAGGGGACCTCGTGGGGCCGGAAGCGCTGCAAGGGGCCCAAGATGGCGGATCTCGAGTCTCCTCCGAAGTTGTCAGGGGTGCCTCAGCCCTGTGAGGTGGTGGGAGGAGGCTGCTGCTCCGAAATCTCCACCGAGCTCATTCGCTCTCTGACAGAGCTGCAGGAGCTGGAGGCTGTGTACGAACGGCTGTGCGGCGAGGAGGTCGGCGGCTGAGCCTTTTTTTTTTTTTTCCAGGAGGATCCAGGGGCAGTGGGCTTAGGAGCTATTGGTCTTGGGAAATTCGGGCTGTGGGAAGCGCACTCTTGGTAGCAGGAAAACAAAAAAAAAGCTCTCACCCGAGAAGCGGGTGTGTGTTTGGGTATTTGAAGAGACTTGTCGACTCCTTCACTCTGTCGGATGCCGCCCCAGCCTGTTGGCTTTGCTAACTCGGCGATCTTCGCCTTCTCGCACCCATCTAGCTCCCTGGCCCATAGTCACGAGTTCCTCCACTAGAGTAAAGAGTATATACCAAGTTGCATGACTCTCAAAATAAGAATTGCATTGGCTTAGTAATTTAAACATGACGAACTTTCATCCCGTTATCTTCAACAGGAAGTCCTTTAAGACTTGTAGGGAATGGTTTGAGTATACAATTGTCGCATTTCGGTTAAATGAACAACTCGTAGAAGTTTGAGCTTTTGAAGATTGAGCTGCAGCTGTCAAATCGTGGACAAGTCATTTCATCTGTTACCCCCTGACAATCTGTCAAAGGAAAAGCGTGGGCCTTTAAGTCCCTAACGTTCGTTCAGTCTCCTGACTCACTTTCCTGTGGCAACTTGATGCTGTCAACTCACTTTCTATTGTCAGTTGGGTTCCTTGCAAGAAAGAGAGCTAACCTCTGATCTAAACATTTAGCAGCTATTTTCCAATCTAAAATTTTAAGCAAAGTTCCACACAAGAAGCAGTTTCAACCTCTGAATAAGGGAAGTCATTGTATATTTCAAGATACTAATTTGCACCAACTCTTGCAGTTTCTGATAACCTTTTTTGGCAAGGTGTATTTTAAAGTTCAGTACTTTTTTTTTTTTTTAAGATTTGTTTATTTGACAGGCAGAGTTACAGAGAGAGAGAGAGAGAGATCTTCCATCCACTGGTTCACTGCCCCAATGACCACAATGGCCAGAGCTGCACTAGGCTGAAGTCAAGAGCCAGGAGCTTCATCTGGGTCTTCCACGTGGATGCAGGGGGCTACTTTCCCAGGCGCATTAGCAGGAAGCTGGATCAGAAATTGAGCAGCCAGACTCAAACCCTGCACCCATTTGGAATGCCAGTGCTGCAGATGTGGCTTTTACCCACTATGCCACAGCATCAGCCCCTAAAATTCAGTACTCTTGATTTAACATTCCTTAGCTTGCATTCACTGGGCAGTCAGTACTTTGAGGAAAAAATTAAGGAGATCTTACAAACAAAACAATATTCTATATTGGTGTTTGATGACTGGGGGAAGTTTCTCCAGATCCTATTGGGCTATTTTAATAGAAATGTATAGCTAACCTTTACTAATGTATTACTGATACTATCGTGGGGGTGGATTCCAAATAAGAGGATGAGTTTGGTCCCCCCCCCCCAAAAAAAAAAGAAATGTATAGCTAAAATTAAAGGTTGTTGAACTATCTGGACATACTGTGTTCAATACTTTGTATCTTAGCCTGCTTGACTCACCCAACAGTCCTATAATGTAGGCATTTCTCTATTATGGATGAAGAAACATAAGGTTAGATGAAGTGAGGGAGCACAGGAAACGACCTGAGAATTATATTTATCCCCTCTGACTTTGTACCAAAAAGAGATTTTTTGCGTGTGTGTGAGGCACCTTTTGGGAAATTTCATTTATTCAGCTGTTTCATTTTAAATCCCTTCTTATGTTAATCACTCTGCTAATGCATAAAAATCCTGTGTCCTCCCATTATGACACTCATCTGTTAGATGGAGTAAAATATAGGTAGCAGACATCATGCAGTGTGGTCAGTACAGAAATGAAGTGTTGTTTGTTAATGTCCAAGGGCAGTGTAGTGGAAAGTAAGGAGAAATTTGAAATAGGTTTACCCATCACTAAAAGTATCTTTGTAACCATTCTGATGACAAGAAGCTTCTCTGTGTTTCAGAAAGTGGTAGAGAGAGAGCTGGATGCTCTTTTGGAACAGCAAAGCACTATTGAAAGTAAGATGGTCACTCTCCACCGAATGGGGTAAGTGTATGCATCTTAGCAAGATCTACTGTAAGTGCCAACAGTGTTCTTTAGGTAAGTTATTATGTTTCCTAACTTTCTATAATAAACTGCCAGTTGAATTTGAAAACTAGAAGAGTCTTACTGCAAGGAAAAGTGAGTATCTAAGTGTTCAGTGGTTCTCAAAGAGTCCTTGGAGCAGCAGTACAAGCATCACCTCTGGAAACTCTTTAGAAGTGTATATTTTGGAGTCCCACTCCAAACTTACTGAATCACTCTGGGGATGGGGACAGGAATGTGTATTTTAACAAGCCTACCAGATGACTCTGATTTACAACTCAAGTTTGAGAACTGCTGTGCTTTGAATTCAGCATCCTCTCAGACTGTTGGTTAGTATACATTATGCTTGCTTAGCAATTGGGAATCTTTTCTCCACTTCTTTAGCCATCCCTACTTAGGGATGTCTTTGTAATTTTAAAATTTGTTTTGTTAAATATAGACCTATATTTACAGTAAAACACTCAAGAAACAATTGTTTGTAGAATGAACTGAACTATGAGTTGTAGAGAGGGACAAAAGAAGTAGAAGACATAGTTTCCATCTACATAAAAAGTTTTTTGTCTCTTACGCCTATGGATGTGTGTGTGCTGACCATGTGTGTCTCCAGTCCCAACCTGCAGTTGATTGAGGGAGATGCAAAGCAGCTGGCTGGAATGATCACATTTACCTGCAACCTAGCCGAGAACGTGTCCAGCAAAGTCCGTCAGCTTGACCTAGCCAAGGTAATTCCATTGAGATTTTGATGTTTGAGTTAGTAGAGTGCAGTAAAAAAAAGCCACATACATCAGAGAAGCACCATCTAATAGAAATTTAATATGAGCTACCTGAACCAGACAAACTCCAAACCAATAGCTGTTACAATTGTAGACATAAAATTCCTCAATAAAATATCAGCAAAGCAAATCCAACAACTATACAAAAAGGATTATATATATGACATGTAGAATTTATTCTAGCAGTGCAGGTTTTATTTAGCATTTGAAAATTAGTTAATATACCGTATCAATAAAGGTCCAAAACCACATGACCATCTCATAAGCATAGAAAAAACACCTGACAAAGTTCAATGCCTCTTCATAATAAAAACAATCAACAAATAGACTAGAACTTCATCAACCAGGTAAAGGGTAACTGAAAAATCTAGCATCATATTTCCTAGTGACAGGTGTGATGCTTTCCTCCTAAGATAAAGAAGGAGGTCTGCTCTTGCCTTGTCTGTTAACATTGTACTAGAAGTTCTAGCCAAGGCAGTTAGATAATAAAATGAAAGAAAAGCCATCTACATGGGAGTGGGCATTGTAGCACAACAGGTTAAGCTGCTACCTGGGATGCATGTACCAGTCCTGGCTACTCCACTTCTAATTCAATCACCTGCTAATGTGCCTGGGAACCAGCAGATAATGCTGTAAGTACTTGGCTTCCTGCCACCCATGTAGGAGACCAGGTGAGATTTCTGGCTCCTGGCTACAGCCTGGCCCAGCCCAGGCTGTTGTGGCCATCTGCAAAGTAAACGAGTGAATGGAAGAATTCCCTCTTTCTGTTCTCTCTCTGTATCTGAAATCTTCCTTTCAAATAGTAAATGAAATATTTTCAAAAAAATGTTTAAGTCACCCAGATTGGAAAAGAAATCTAGATGAACTTCCTAAATTATTTTATTTTAAATATTCACATAGCCATTTTTTAAAAAGATTTATTTATTTGAAAGGCTGAGTTGCAGAGAGGCAGAGACAGAAAGAGAGTTCTTCCAACTGCTGGTTCACTCCCCAAGTGGCTGCAGTGGTTACAATGGAAAGAGCTGGACCGATCCAAAGCCAGGAGCCAGGAGCTTCTTCCAGGTCTCCCATGTGGATGCCAGGGGCCCAGGGACCTGGGCCATCTTCCACTGCTTTTCCAGGTCATAGCAGAGAACTATATTGGAAGTGGAGCAGCTGGATCCTGAACCAGTGCCCATATGGATGCCAGCTCCACATTTACCTGCTGCACTACAGCACCAACCCCTTGTAGTCATTTTTAAAAATTAAAAAGGAGAGCCAGTGCTGTGGTGTGGTGAGAAAAGCCACCACTTGCAGTGCTGGCATCCTATATGGGTGCTGGTTCAAGTCTCAGCTGCTCTACTCCTGATCCAGCTTTCTACTATGGCCTTGGGAAAGCAGTAGAAGATGGCCCAAGTGCTTGGGCCCCTGCATCAGAGTGGAGACCCAAAAGAAGCTCCTGGCTCCTGACTTCGCATCAGCACAGCTCCATCTGTTGCAGCCATTTGGGGAGTGAACCAGCGGATGGAAGATTCTCCCCCCGCCCCCACCGCCTCTGCCTCTGCCTGTCTGTGACTCTGCCTTTCAAATAAATAAATAAATGTTTAAAAAGTTAAAAAGGAATAAGTGAGAAAATATTTTTTTAAGATTTATTTATTTTACACAGAGAGGAGATGCAGAGAGAGAGAGAGGTCTTCCATCCGATGGTTCACTCCCCTACTGGCCGCAATGGTCAGAGCTGCACTGATCCAAAGCCAGGAGCCAGGAGCTT